GAGAGAGAGCGCATCCCAAGGCTCCAGTCAGAACGTTACCATTCAGTCACTTTATATCAGACAAAGTGGGCGGCAACAGAGTCATCACAGAGAGCCGGGCTTTACTGTACACCGCCTGATAATAACCCTCGTCATTTGACCCAAATAGAGGTCTCCAACCCCATTGCAGGATACGCAGCAAAGCGTAGTGACTGTGCGTTCCCGAGGGGCAAAACTGGCAGCCCATTGCGCCAGCGACGTCCCACAAACAGCCGTGGTCGAGTGACCGAGTTATTACCCTATTTTCTTTCTGAAGAGAAGCCGACAGCTTAACATGTGAGGTGAGCCTCTCCCCCCCCCCACTCTGTGATGCGATCCCAGAAACTCACCAGGTAAGTAAGTTGCGTGTGAACCTCAATGGTCACCAGTATTGATTGGTGTCTATTGGTGAAAGGTTACCGTCCCACAAGAACCTGTTCAGCCCTCAGTGAGTCAGCCCACTGTTCCCCTTAATCCAGCAAACACTTCATGTCCTGGTTATAGCTGAAATAGAAAAGAAGGTCCGGTAAGGTCAAGCAAAGCAGCAATGTTAGTCTTCCCCTCTACCTACTGTCTGACCGGCCTAAACTGAGGGAATCCTCCTCAGCTCCTGTTAATCCTGCAGCCAAAGCCCTATAAGTAACGGGGAGGGTGGGTCCTCGCTGGACAAGCAGCGGGAAAGCTTGGCCAGACAGCACACTCTGGGGTGTGGGTGGGACGTGGGAATCCTCAGTCGGGTTTGGATACCCTTAAGCAAACGGGGACAGGTGTCCACGCGTGTCAGACACCCGGCTGGTCACGGTGCCGGGTTTCCGTGCGTGTCAGACACCCGGCTGGTCACGGTGCCGGGTTTCCGTGCGTTGTCAGACACCCGGCTGATCGAAAACCAACCCTGGACAAGAGTCCTCTGGCCGTTAAATGCTGATAAAGCAGCAGTGAATCAGAGGTAACCGTTTCAGTCACCAACAATCAGACTGGGGCGATAACAGGCTCAACATATTTAGCCGCTAAAACTAATTCCTCCAGCGAAAACCACCACCCGCTAAAGAGTGGAGCGGACACGTGTCTCGACCTTACCTCGGTCTGATCTCTTTTGTCCTCCACAGCTCCGTAAGGTACAAGGTCCTGCGAAGAAAGATCACTTTGCCCGTTACTTAAATAATAATAATCTTTCTGAGGTTGACGCAGCGCCTGATCACGTCTCAAAAGCGCAAATTTCGCTGTGATCTCGGCTAACCTCCGTTAACTCCCCCCCCCCCCCCCCAAAACGACTCGGCTCCTGCCAACCTGCGCCTAATACTCTCCGGAATTGGGTAAGCAGGGTGCGCCCCTCCAGGGAGGGAGGAGGGAGGAGAGAGAGAGAGCGCATCCAAGGCTCCAGTCAGAACGTTACCATTCAGTCACTTTATATCAGACAAAGTGGGGGGCACAGAGTCATCACAGAGAGCCGGGCTTTACTGTACACCGCCTGATAATAACCCTCGTCATTTGACCCAAATAGAGATCTCCAACCCCATTGCAGGATACGCAGCTATTTGTCCGAAATCAAAACCTGGCAGCCCATTGCGCCCAGCGACGTCCCCACAAACAGCCGTCGGTGAGCGAGTTATTACCCCTATTTTCTTTCTGAAGGGAAGCCGACAGCTTAACATGTGAGGTGAGCCTCTCCCCCCACTCTGTGATGCGATCCCAGAAACTCACCAGGTAAGTAAGTTGCGTGTGAACCTCAATGGTCACCAGTATTGATTGGTGTCTATTGGTGAAAGGTTACCGTCCCACAAGAACCTGTTCAGCCCTCAGTGAGTCAGCCCACTGTTCCCCTTAATCCAGCAAACACTTCATGTCCTGGTTATAGCTGAAATAGAAAAGAAGGTCCGGTAAGGTCAAGCAAAGCAGCAATGTTAGTCTTCCCCTCTACCTACTGTCTGACCGGCCTAAAACTGAGGGAATCCTCCCTCAGCTCCTGTTAATCCTGCAGCCAAAGCCCTATAAGTAACGGGGAGGGTGGGTCCTCGCTGGACAAGCAGCGGGAAAGCTTGGCCAGACAGCACACTCTGGGGTGTGGGTGGGACGTGGGGAATCCTCAGTCGGGTTTGGATACCCTTAAGCAAACGGGGACAGGCGTCCACGCGTGTCAGACACCCGGCTGGTCACGGTGCCGGGTTTCCGTGCGTGTCAGACACCCGGCTGGTCACGGTGCCGGGTTTCCGTGCGTGTCAGACACCCGGCTGGTCACGGTGCCGGGTTTCCGTGCGTTGTCAGACACCCGGCTGATCGAAAACCAACCCTGGACAAGAGTCCTCTGGCCGTTAAATGCTGATAAAGCAGCAGTGAATCAGAGGTTACCGTTTCAGTCACCAACAATCAGACTGGGGCGATAACAGGCTCAACATATTTAGCCGCTAAAACTAATTCCTCCAGCGAAAACCACCACCCGCTAAAGAGTGGAGCGGACACGTGTCTCGACCTTACCTCGGTCTGATCTCTTTTGTCCTCCACAGCTCCGTAAGGTACAAGGTCCTGCGAAGAAAGATCACTTTGCCCGTTACTTAAATAATAATAATCTTTCTGAGGTTGACGCAGCGCCTGATCACGTCTCAAAAGCGCAAATTTCGCTGTGATCTCGGCTAACCTCCGTTAACTCCCCCCCCCCCCGCCAAAAAGACTCGGCTCCTGCCAACCTGCGCCTAATACTCTCCGGAATTGGGTAAGCAGGGTGCGCCCCTCCAGGGAGGGAGGGAGGAGGAGAGAGAGCGCATTCCAAGGCTCCAGTCAGAACGTTACCATTCAGTCACTTTATATCAGACAAAGTGGGCGGGAACAGAGTCATCACAGAGAGCCGGGCTTTACTGTACACCGCCTGATAATAACCCTCGTCATTTGACCCAAATAGAGGTCTCCAACCCCATTGCAGGATACGCAGCAAAGCGTAGTGACTGTGCGTTCCCGAGGGGCAAAACCTGGCAGCCCATTGCGCCCAGCGACGTCCCCACAAACAGCCGTGGGTCGAGTGACCGAGTTATTACCCCTATTTTCTTTCTGAAGGGAAGCCGACAGCTTAACATGTGAGGTGAGCCTCTCCCCCCACTCTGTGATGCGATCCCAGAAACTCACCAGGTAAGTAAGTTGCGTGTGAACCTCAATGGTCACCAGTATTGATTGGTGTCTATTGGTGAAAGGTTACCGTCCCACAAGAACCTGTTCAGCCCTCAGTGAGTCAGCCCACTGTTCCCCTTAATCCAGCAAACACTTCATGTCCTGGTTATAGCTGAAATAGAAAAGAAGGTCCGGTAAGGTCAAGCAAAGCAGCAATGTTAGTCTTCCCCTCTACCTACTGTCTGACCGGCCTAAAACTGAGGGAATCCTCCCTCAGCTCCTGTTAATCCTGCAGCCAAAGCCCTATAAGTAACGGGGAGGGTGGGTCCTCGCTGGACAAGCAGCGGGAAAGCTTGGCCAGACAGCACACTCTGGGGTGTGGGTGGGACGTGGGGAATCCTCAGTCGGGTTTGGATACCCTTAAGCAAACGGGGACAGGCGTCCACGCGTGTCAGACACCCGGCTGGTCACGGTGCCGGGTTTCCGTGCGTGTCAGACACCCGGCTGGTCACGGTGCCGGGTTTCCGTGCGTGTACACCCGGCTGGTCACGGTGCCGGGTTTCCGTGCGTTGTCAGACACCCGGCTGATCGAAAACCAACCCTGGACAAGAGTCCTCTGGCCGTTAAATGCTGATAAAGCAGCAGTGAATCAGAGGTTACCGTTTCAGTCACCAACAATCAGACTGGGGCGATAACAGGCTCAACATATTTAGCCGCTAAAACTAATTCCTCCAGCGAAAACCACCACCCGCTAAAGAGTGGAGCGGACACGTGTCTCGACCTTACCTCGGTCTGATCTCTTTTGTCCTCCACAGCTCCGTAAGGTACAAGGTCCTGCGAAGAAAGATCACTTTGCCCGTTACTTAAATAATAATAATCTTTCTGAGGTTGACGCAGCGCCTGATCACGTCTCAAAAGCGCAAATTTCGCTGTGATCTCGGCTAACCTCCGTTAACTCCCCCCCCCCCCCCCGCCAAAAAGACTCGGCTCCTGCCAACCTGCGCCTAATACTCTCCGGAATTGGGTAAGCAGGGTGCGCCCCTCCAGGGAGGGAGGGAGGAGGAGAGAGAGAGGGGCCGCATCCCAAGGCTCCAGTCAGAACGTTACCATTCAGTCACTTTATATCAGACAAAGTGGGCGGGAACAGAGTCATCACAGAGAGCCGGGCTTTACTGTACACCGCCTGATAATAACCCTCGTCATTTGACCCAAATAGAGGTCTCCAACCCCATTGCAGGTTACGCCGCAAAGCGTAGTGACTGTGCGTTCCCGAGGGGCAAAACCTGGCAGCCCATTGCGCCCAGCGACGTCCCCACAAACAGCCGTGGGTCGAGTGACCGAGTTATTACCCCTATTTTCTTTCTGAAGGGAAGCCGACAGCTTAACATGTGAGGTGAGCCTCTCCCCCCCCCACTCTGTGATGCGATCCCAGAAACTCACCAGGTAAGTAAGTTGCGTGTGAACCTCAATGGTCACCAGTATTGATTGGTGTCTATTGGTGAAAGGTTACCGTCCCACAAGAACCTGTTCAGCCCTCAGTGAGTCAGCCCACTGTTCCCCTTAATCCAGCAAACACTTCATGTCCTGGTTATAGCTGAAATAGAAAAGAAGGTCCGGTAAGGTCAAGCAAAGCAGCAATGTTAGTCTTCCCCTCTACCTACTGTCTGACCGGCCTAAAACTGAGGGAATCCTCCCTCAGCTCCTGTTAATCCTGCAGCCAAAGCCCTATAAGTAACGGGGAGGGTGGGTCCTCGCTGGACAAGCAGCGGGAAAGCTTGGCCAGACAGCACACTCTGGGGTGTGGGTGGGACGTGGGGAATCCTCAGTCGGGTTTGGAGACCCTTAAGCAAACGGGGACAGGTGTCCACGCGTGTCAGACACCCGGCTGGTCACGGTGCCGGGTTTCCGTGCGTGTCAGACACCCGGCTGGTCACGGTGCCGGGTTTCCGTGCGTGTCAGACACCCGGCTGGTCACGGTGCCGGGTTTCCGTGCGTTGTCAGACACCCGGCTGATCGAAAACCAACCCTGGACAAGAGTCCTCTGGCCGTTAAATGCTGATAAAGCAGCAGTGAATCAGAGGTTACCGTTTCAGTCACCAACAATCAGACTGGGGCGATAACAGGCTCAACATATTTAGCCGCTAAAACTAATTCCTCCAGCGAAAACCACCACCCGCTAAAGAGTGGAGCGGACACGTGTCTCGACCTTACCTCGGTCTGATCTCTTTTGTCCTCCACAGCTCCGTAAGGTACAAGGTCCTGCGAAGAAAGATCACTTTGCCCGTTACTTAAATAATAATAATCTTTCTGAGGTTGACGCAGCGCCTGATCACGTCTCAAAAGCGCAAATTTCGCTGTGATCTCGGCTAACCTCCGTTAACTCCCCCCCCCCCCGCCAAAAAGACTCGGCTCCTGCCAACCTGCGCCTAATACTCTCCGGAATTGGGTAAGCAGGGTGCGCCCCTCCAGGGAGGGAGGGAGGAGGAGAGAGAGAGAGAGAGAGCGCATCCCAAGGCTCCAGTCAGAACGTTACCATTCAGTCACTTTATATCAGACAAAGTGGGTGGGCACAGAGTCATCACAGAGAGCCGGGCTTTACTGTACACCGCCTGATAATAACCCTCGTCATTTGACCCAAATAGAGGTCTCCAACCCCATTGCAGGATACGCAGCAAAGCGTAGTGACTGTGCGTTCCCGAGGGGCAAAACCTGGCAGCCCATTGCGCCCAGCGACGTCCCCACAAACAGCCGTGGGTCGAGTGACCGAGTTATTACCCCTATTTTCTTTCTGAAGAGAAGCCGACAGCTTAACATGTGAGGTGAGCCTCTCCCCCCACTCTGTGATGCGATCCCAGAAACTCACCAGGTAAGTAAGTTGCGTGTGAACCTCAATGGTCACCAGTATTGATTGGTGTCTATTGGTGAAAGGTTACCGTCCCACAAGAACCTGTTCAGCCCTCAGTGAGTCAGCCCACTGTTCCCCTTAATCCAGCAAACACTTCATGTCCTGGTTATAGCTGAAATAGAAAAGAAGGTCCGGTAAGGTCAAGCAAAGCAGCAATGTTAGTCTTCCCCTCTACCTACTGTCTGACCGGCCTAAAACTGAGGGAATCCTCCCTCAGCTCCTGTTAATCCTGCAGCCAAAGCCCTATAAGTAACGGGGAGGGTGGGTCCTCGCTGGACAAGCAGCGGGAAAGCTTGGCCAGACAGCACACTCTGGGGTGTGGGTGGGACGTGGGGAATCCTCAGTCGGGTTTGGATACCCTTAAGCAAACGGGGACAGGCGTCCACGCGTGTCAGACACCCGGCTGGTCACGGTGCCGGGTTTCCGTGCGTGTCAGACACCCGGCTGGTCACGGTGCCGGGTTTCCGTGCGTTGTCAGACACCCGGCTGATCGAAAACCAACCCTGGACAAGAGTCCTCTGGCCGTTAAATGCTGATAAAGCAGCAGTGAATCAGAGGTTACCGTTTCAGTCACCAACAATCAGACTGGGGCGATAACAGGCTCAACATATTTAGCCGCTAAAACTAATTCCTCCAGCGAAAACCACCACCCGCTAAAGAGTGGAGCGGACACGTGTCTCGACCTTACCTCGGTCTGATCTCTTTTGTCCTCCACAGCTCCGTAAGGTACAAGGTCCTGCGAAGAAAGATCACTTTGCCCGTTACTTAAATAATAATAATCTTTCTGAGGTTGACGCAGCGCCTGATCACGTCTCAAAAGCGCAAATTTCGCTGTGATCTCGGCTAACCTCCGTTAACTCCCCCCCCCCCCCCCGCCAAAAAGACTCGGCTCCTGCCAACCTGCGCCTAATACTCTCCGGAATTGGGTAAGCAGGGTGCGCCCCTCCAGGGAGGGAGGGAGGAGAGAGAGAGAGAGCGCATCCCAAGGCTCCAGTCAGAACGTTACCATTCAGTCACTTTATATCAGACAAAGTGGGCGGGAACAGAGTCATCACAGAGAGCCGGGCTTTACTGTACACCGCCTGATAATAACCCTCGTCATTTGACCGAAATAGAGGTCTCCAACCCCATTGCAGGATACGCAGCAAAGCGTAGTGACTGTGCGTTCCCGAGGGGCAAAACCTGGCAGCCCATTGCGCCCAGCGACGTCCCCACAAACAGCCGTGGGTCGAGTGACCGAGTTATTACCCCTATTTTCTTTCTGAAGGGAAGCCGACAGCTTAACATGTGAGGTGAGCCTCTCCCCCCCCACTCTGTGATGCGATCCCAGAAACTCACCAGGTAAGTAAGTTGCGTGTGAACCTCAATGGTCACCAGTATTGATTGGTGTCTATTGGTGAAAGGTTACCGTCCCACAAGAACCTGTTCAGCCCTCAGTGAGTCAGCCCACTGTTCCCCTTAATCCAGCAAACACTTCATGTCCTGGTTATAGCTGAAATAGAAAAGAAGGTCCGGTAAGGTCAAGCAAAGCAGCAATGTTAGTCTTCCCCTCTACCTACTGTCTGACCGGCCTAAAACTGAGGGAATCCTCCCTCAGCTCCTGTTAATCCTGCAGCCAAAGCCCTATAAGTAACGGGGAGGGTGGGTCCTCGCTGGACAAGCAGCGGGAAAGCTTGGCCAGACAGCACACTCTGGGGTGTGGGTGGGACGTGGGGAATCCTCAGTCGGGTTTGGATACCCTTAAGCAAACGGGGACAGGCGTCCACGCGTGTCAGACACCCGGCTGGTCACGGTGCCGGGTTTCCGTGCGTGTCAGACACCCGGCTGGTCACGGTGCCGGGTTTCCGTGCGTGTCAGACACCCGGCTGGTCACGGTGCCGGGTTTCCGTGCGTTGTCAGACACCCGGCTGATCGAAAACCAACCCTGGACAAGAGTCCTCTGGCCGTTAAATGCTGATAAAGCAGCAGTGAATCAGAGGTTACCGTTTCAGTCACCAACAATCAGACTGGGGCGATAACAGGCTCAACATATTTAGCCGCTAAAACTAATTCCTCCAGCGAAAACCACCACCCGCTAAAGAGTGGAGCGGACACGTGTCTCGACCTTACCTCGGTCTGATCTCTTTTGTCCTCCACAGCTCCGTAAGGTACAAGGTCCTGCGAAGAAAGATCACTTTGCCCGTTACTTAAATAATAATAATCTTTCTGAGGTTGACGCAGCGCCTGATCACGTCTCAAAAGCGCAAATTTCGCTGTGATCTCGGCTAACCTCCGTTAACTCCCCCCCCCCCCCGCCAAAAAGACTCGGCTCCTGCCAACCTGCGCCTAATACTCTCCGGAATTGGGTAAGCAGGGTGCGCCCCTCCAGGGAGGGAGGGAGGAGAGAGAGAGAGAGCGCATCCCAAGGCTCCAGTCAGAACGTTACCATTCAGTCACTTTATATCAGACAAAGTGGGCGGGAACAGAGTCATCACAGAGAGCCGGGCTTTACTGTACACCGCCTGATAATAACCCTCGTCATTTGACCCAAATAGAGGTCTCCAACCCCATTGCAGGATACGCAGCAAAGCGTAGTGACTGTGCGTTCCCGAGGGGCAAAACCTGGCAGCCCATTGCGCCCAGCGACGTCCCCACAAACAGCCTTGGGTCGAGTGACCGAGTTATTACCCCTATTTTCTTTCTGAAGGGAAGCCGACAGCTTAACATGTGAGGTGAGCCTCTCCCCCCCCACTCTGTGATGCGATCCCAGAAACTCACCAGGTAAGTAAGTTGCGTGTGAACCTCAATGGTCACCAGTATTGATTGGTGTCTATTGGTGAAAGGTTACCGTCCCACAAGAACCTGTTCAGCCCTCAGTGAGTCAGCCCACTGTTCCCCTTAATCCAGCAAACACTTCATGTCCTGGTTATAGCTGAAATAGAAAAGAAGGTCCGGTAAGGTCAAGCAAAGCAGCAATGTTAGTCTTCCCCTCTACCTACTGTCTGACCGGCCTAAAACTGAGGGAATCCTCCCTCAGCTCCTGTTAATCCTGCAGCCAAAGCCCTATAAGTAACGGGGAGGGTGGGTCCTCGCTGGACAAGCAGCGGGAAAGCTTGGCCAGACAGCACACTCTGGGGTGTGGGTGGGACGTGGGGAATCCTCAGTCGGGTTTGGAGACCCTTAAGCAAACGGGGACAGGCGTCCACGCGTGTCAGACACCCGGCTGGTCACGGTGCCGGGTTTCCGTGCGTGTCAGACACCCGGCTGGTCACGGTGCCGGGTTTCCGTGCGTTGTCAGACACCCGGCTGATCGAAAACCAACCCTGGACAAGAGTCCTCTGGCCGTTAAATGCTGATAAAGCAGCAGTGAATCAGAGGTTACCGTTTCAGTCACCAACAATCAGACTGGGGCGATAACAGGCTCAACATATTTAGCCGCTAAAACTAATTCCTCCAGCGAAAACCACCACCCGCTAAAGAGTGGAGCGGACACGTGTCTCGACCTTACCTCGGTCTGATCTCTTTTGTCCTCCACAGCTCCGTAAGGTACAAGGTCCTGCGAAGAAAGATCACTTTGCCCGTTACTTAAATAATAATAATCTTTCTGAGGTTGACGCAGCGCCTGATCACGTCTCAAAAGCGCAAATTTCGCTGTGATCTCGACTAACCTCCGTTAACTCCCCCCCCCCCGCCAAAAAGACTCGGCTCCTGCCAACCTGCGCCTAATACTCTCCGGAATTGGGTAAGCAGGGTGCGCCCCTCCAGGGAGGGAGGGAGGAGGAGAGAGAGAGAGCGCATCCCAAGGCTCCAGTCAGAACGTTACCATTCAGTCACTTTATATCAGACAAAGTGGGCGGGAACAGAGTCATCACAGAGAGCCGGGCTTTACTGTACACCGCCTGATAATAACCCTCGTCATTTGACCCAAATAGAGGTCTCCAACCCCATTGCAGGATACGCAGCAAAGCGTAGTGACTGTGCGTTCCCGAGGGGCAAAACCTGGCAGCCCATTGCGCCCAGCGACGTCCCCACAAACAGCCGTGGGTCGAGTGACCGAGTTATTACCCCTATTTTCTTTCTGAAGGGAAGCCGACAGCTTAACATGTGAGGTGAGCCTCCCCCCCCCACTCTGTGATGCGATCCCAGAAACTCACCAGGTAAGTAAGTTGCGTGTGAACCTCAATGGTCACCAGTATTGATTGGTGTCTATTGGTGAAAGGTTACCGTCCCACAAGAACCTGTTCAGCCCTCAGTGAGTCAGCCCACTGTTCCCCTTAATCCAGCAAACACTTCATGTCCTGGTTATAGCTGAAATAGAAAAGAAGGTCCGGTAAGGTCAAGCAAAGCAGCAATGTTAGTCTTCCCCTCTACCTACTGTCTGACCGGCCTAAAACTGAGGGAATCCTCCCTCAGCTCCTGTTAATCCTGCAGCCAAAGCCCTATAAGTAACGGGGAGGGTGGGTCCTCGCTGGACAAGCAGCGGGAAAGCTTGGCCAGACAGCACACTCTGGGGTGTGGGTGGGACGTGGGGAATCCTCAGTCGGGTTTGGATACCCTTAAGCAAACGGGGACAGGCGTCCACGCGTGTCAGACACCCGGCTGGTCACGGTGCCGGGTTTCCGTGCGTGTCAGACACCCGGCTGGTCACGGTGCCGGGTTTCCGTGCGTGTCAGACACCCGGCTGGTCACGGTGCCGGGTTTCCGTGCGTGTCAGACACCCGGCTGATCGAAAACCAACCCTGGACAAGAGTCCTCTGGCCGTTAAATGCTGATAAAGCAGCAGTGAATCAGAGGTTACCGTTTCAGTCACCAACAATCAGACTGGGGCGATAACAGGCTCAACATATTTAGCCGCTAAAACTAATTCCTCCAGCGAAAACCACCACCCGCTAAAGAGTGGAGCGGACACGTGTCTCGACCTTACCTCGGTCTGATCTCTTTTGTCCTCCACAGCTCCGTAAGGTACAAGGTCCTGCGAAGAAAGATCACTTTGCCCGTTACTTAAATAATAATAATCTTTCTGAGGTTGACGCAGCGCCTGATCACGTCTCAAAAGCGCAAATTTCGCTGTGATCTCGGCTAACCTCCGTTAACTCCCCCCCCCTCCCCGCCAAAAAGACTCGGCTCCTGCCAACCTGCGCCTAATACTCTCCGGAATTGGGTAAGCAGGGTGCGCCCCTCCAGGGAGGGAGGGAGGAGGAGAGAGAGAGGGGGCGCATCCCAAGGCTCCAGTCAGAACGTTACCATTCAGTCACTTTATATCAGACAAAGTGGGCGGGAACAGAGTCATCACAGAGAGCCGGGCTTTACTGTACACCGCCTGATAATAACCCTCGTCATTCCCCCTATTTTCTTTCTGAAGGGAAGCCGATAGCTTAACATGTGAGGTGAGCCTCTCCCCCCACTCTGTGATGCGATCCCAGAAACTCACCAGGTAAGTAAGTTGCGTGTGAACCTCAATGGTCACCAGTATTGATTGGTGTCTATTGGTGAAAGGTTACCGTCCCACAAGAACCTGTTCAGCCCTCAGTGAGTCAGCCCACTGTTCCCCTTAATCCAGCAAACACTTCATGTCCTGGTTATAGCTGAAATAGAAAAGAAGGTCCGGTAAGGTCAAGCAAAGCAGCAATGTTAGTCTTCCCCTCTACCTACTGTCTGACCGGCCTAAAACTGAGGGAATCCTCCCTCAGCTCCTGTTAATCCTGCAGCCAAAGCCCTATAAGTAACGGGGAGGGTGGGTCCTCGCTGGACAAGCAGCGGGAAAGCTTGGCCAGACAGCACACTCTGGGGTGTGGGTGGGACGTGGGGAATCCTCAGTCGGGTTTGGAGACCCTTAAGCAAACGGGGACAGGCGTCCACGCGTGTCAGACACCCGGCTGGTCACGGTGCCGGGTTTCCGTGCGTGTCAGACACCCGGCTGGTCACGGTGCCGGGTTTCCGTGCGTGTCAGACACCCGGCTGGTCACGGTGCCGGGTTTCCGTGCGTGTCAGACACCCGGCTGGTCACGGTGCCGGGTTTCCGTGCGTTGTCAGACACCCGGCTGATCGAAAACCAACCCTGGACAAGAGTCCTCTGGCCGTTAAATGCTGATAAAGCAGCAGTGAATCAGAGGTTACCGTTTCAGTCACCAACAATCAGACTGGGGCGATAACAGGCTCAACATATTTAGCCGCTAAAACTAATTCCTCCAGCGAAAACCACCACCCGCTAAAGAGTGGAGCGGACACGTGTCTCGACCTTACCTCGGTCTGATCTCTTTTGTCCTCCACAGCTCCGTAAGGTACAAGGTCCTGCGAAGAAAGATCACTTTGCCCGTTACTTAAATAATAATAATCTTTCTGAGGTTGACGCAGCGCCTGATCACGTCTCAAAAGCGCAAATTTCGCTGTGATCTCGGCTAACCTCCGTTAACTCCCCCCCCCCCCCGCCAAAAAGACTCGGCTCCTGCCAACCTGCGCCTAATACTCTCCGGAATTGGGTAAGCAGGGTGCGCCCCTCCAGGGAGGGAGGGAGGAGGAGAGAGAGAGAGAGAGAGCGCATCCCAAGGCTCCAGTCAGAACGTTACCATTCAGTCACTTTATATCAGACAAAGTGGGCGGGAACAGAGTCATCACAGAGAGCCGGGCTTTACTGTACACCGCCTGATAATAACCCTCGTCATTTGACCCAAATAGAGGTCTCCAACCCCATTGCAGGATACGCAGCAAAGCGTAGTGACTGTGCGTTCCCGAGGGGCAAAACCTGGCAGCCCATTGCGCCCAGCGACGTCCCCACAAACAGCCGTGGGTCGAGTGACCGAGTTATTACCCCTATTTTCTTTCTGAAGGGAAGCCGACAGCTTAACATGTGAGGTGAGCCTCCCCCCCCCACTCTGTGATGCGATCCCAGAAACTCACCAGGTAAGTAAGTTGCGTGTGAACCTCAATGGTCACCAGTATTGATTGGTGTCTATTGGTGAAAGGTTACCGTCCCACAAGAACCTGTTCAGCCCTCAGTGAGTCAGCCCACTGTTCCCCTTAATCCAGCAAACACTTCATGTCCTGGTTATAGCTGAAATAGAAAAGAAGGTCCGGTAAGGTCAAGCAAAGCAGCAATGTTAGTCTTCCCCTCTACCTACTGTCTGACCGGCCTAAAACTGAGGGAATCCTCCCTCAGCTCCTGTTAATCCTGCAGCCAAAGCCCTATAAGTAACGGGGAGGGTGGGTCCTCGCTGGACAAGCAGCGGGAAAGCTTGGCCAGACAGCACACTCTGGGGTGTGGGTGGGACGTGGGGAATCCTCAGTCGGGTTTGGATACCCTTAAGCAAACGGGGACAGGCGTCCACGCGTGTCAGACACCGGGGCTGGTCACGGTGCCGGGTTTCCGTGCGTGTCAGACACCCGGCTGGTCACGGTGCCGGGTTTCCGTGCGTGTCAGACACCCGGCTGATCGAAAACCAACCCTGGACAAGAGTCCTCTGGCCGTTAAATGCTGATAAAGCAGCAGTGAATCAGAGGTTACCGTTTCAGTCACCAACAATCAGACTGGGGCGATAACAGGCTCAACATATTTAGCCGCTAAAACTAATTCCTCCAGCGAAAACCACCACCCGCTAAAGAGTGGAGCGGACACGTGTCTCGACCTTACCTCGGTCTGATCTCTTTTGTCCTCCACAGCTCCGTAAGGTACAAGGTCCTGCGAAGAAAGATCACTTTGCCCGTTACTTAAATAATAATAATCTTTCTGAGGTTGACGCAGCGCCTGATCACGTCTCAAAAGCGCAAATTTCGCTGTGATCTCGGCTAACCTCCGTTAACTCCCCCCCCCCCCGCCAAAAAGACTCGGCTCCTGCCAACCTGCGCCTAATACTCTCCGGAATTGGGTAAGCAGGGTGCGCCCCTCCAGGGAGGGAGGGAGGAGGAGAGAGAGAGAGAGAGCGCATCCCAAGGCTCCAGTCAGAACGTTACCATTCAGTCACTTTATATCAGACAAAGTGGGCGGGAACAGAGTCATCACAGAGAGCCGGGCTTTACTGTACACCGCCTGATAATAACCCTCGTCATTTGACCGAAATAGAGGTCTCCAACCCCATTGCAGGATACGCAGCAAAGCGTAGTGACTGTGCGTTCCCGAGGGGCAAAACCTGGCAGCCCATTGCGCCCAGCGACGTCCCCACAAACAGCCGTGGGTCGAGTGACCGAGTTATTACCCCTATTTTCTTTCTGAAGGGAAGCCGACAGCTTAACATGTGAGGTGAGCCTCTCCCCCCACTCTGTGATGCGATCCCAGAAACTCACCAGGTAAGTAAGTTGCGTGTGAACCTCAATGGTCACCAGTATTGATTGGTGTCTATTGGTGAAAGGTTACCGTCCCACAAGAACCTGTTCAGCCCTCAGTGAGTCAGCCCACTGTTCCCCTTAATCCAGCAAACACTTCATGTCCTGGTTATAGCTGAAATAGAAAAGAAGGTCCGGTAAGGTCAAGCAAAGCAGCAATGTTAGTCTTCCCCTCTACCTACTGTCTGACCGGCCTAAAACTGAGGGAATCCTCCCTCAGCTCCTGTTAATCCTGCAGCCAAAGCCCTATAAGTAACGGGGAGGGTGGGTCCTCGCTGGACAAGCAGCGGGAAAGCTTGGCCAGACAGCACACTCTGGGGTGTGGGTGGGACGTGGGGAATCCTCAGTCGGGTTTGGATACCCTTAAGCAAACGGGGACAGGCGTCCACGCGTGTCAGACACCCGGCTGGTCACGGTGCCGGGTTTCCGTGCGTGTCAGACACCCGGCTGGTCACGGTGCCGGGTTTCCGTGCGTGTCAGACACCCGGCTGGTCACGGTGCCGGGTTTCCGTGCGTTGTCAGACACCCGGCTGATCGAAAACCAACCCTGGACAAGAGTCCTCTGGCCGTTAAATGCTGATAAAGCAGCAGTGAATCAGAGGTAACCGTTTCAGTCACCAACAATCAGACTGGGGCGATAACAGGCTCAACATATTTAGCCGCTAAAACTAATTCCTCCAGCGAAAACCACCACCCGCTAAAGAGTGGAGCGGACACGTGTCTCGACCTTACCTCGGTCTGATCTCTTTTGTCCTCCACAGCTCCGTAAGGTACAAGGTCCTGCGAAGAAAGATCACTTTGCCCGTTACTTAAATAATAATAATCTTTCTGAGGTTGACGCAGCGCCTGATCACGTCTCAAAAGCGCAAATTTCGCTGTGATCTCGACTAACCTCCGTTAACTCCACCCCACCCCCCCCCCGCCAAAAAGACTCGGCTCCTGCCAACCTGCGCCTAATACTCTCCGGAATTGGGTAAGCAGGGTGCGCCCCTCCAGGGAGGGAGGGAGGAGAGAGAGAGAGAGCGCATCCCAAGGCTCCAGTCAGAACGTTACCATTCAGTCACTTTATATCAGACAAAGTGGGTGGGCACAGAGTCATCACAGAGAGCCGGGCTTTACTGTACACCGCCTGATAATAACCCTCGTCATTCCCCCTATTTTCTTTCTGAAGGGAAGCCGACAGCTTAACATATGAGGTGAGCCTCTCCCCCCCCCACTCTGTGATGCGATCCCAGAAACTCACCAGGTAAGTCAGTTGCGTGTGAACCTCAATGGTCACAAGTATTGATTGGTGTCTATTGGTGAAAGGTTACCGTCCCACAAGAACCTGTTCAGCCCTCAGTGAGTCAGCCCACTGTTCCCCTTAATCCAGCAAACACTTCATGTCCTGGTAAAAGCTGAAATAGAAAAGAAGGTCCGGTAAGGTCAAGCAAAGCAGCAATGTTAGTCTTCCCCTCTACCTACTGTCTGACCGGCCTAAAACTGAGGGAATCCTCCCTCAGCTCCTGTTAATCCTGCAGCCAAAGCCCTATAAGTAACGGGGAGGGTGGGTCCTCGCTGGACAAGCAGCGGGAAAGCTTGGCCAGACAGCACACTCTGGGGTGTGGGTGGGACGTGGGGAATCCTCAGTCGGGTTTGGAGACCCTTAAGCAAACGGGGACAGGTGTCCACGCGTGTCAGACACCCGGCTGGTCACGGTGCCGGGTTTCCGTGCGTGTCAAACACCCGGCTGGTCACGGTGCCGGGTTTCCGTGCGTGTCAGACACCCGGCTGGTCACGGCGCCGGGTTTCCGTGCGTTGTCAGACACCCGGCTGATCGAAAACCAACCCTGGACAAGAGTCCTCTGGCCGTTAAATGCTGATAAAGCAGCAGTGAATCAGAGGTTACCGTTTCAGTCACCAACAATCAGACTGGGGCGATAACAGGCTCAACATATTTAGCCGCTAAAACTAATTCCTCCAGCGAAAACCACCACCCGCTAAAGAGTGGAGCGGACACGTGTCTCGACCTTACCTCGGTCTGATCTCTTTTGTCCTCCACAGCTCCGTAAGGTACAAGGTCCTGCGAAGAAAGATCACTTTGCCCGTTACTTAAATAATAATAATCTTTCTGAGGTTGACGCAGCGCCTGATCACGTCTCAAAAGCGCAAATTTCGCTGTGATCTCGACTAACCTCCGTTAACTCCCCCCCCCCGCCAAAAAGACTCGGCTCCTGCCAACCTGCGCCTAATACTCTCCGGAATTGGGTAAGCAGGGTGCGCCCCTCCAGGGAGGGAGGGAGGAGGAGAGAGAGAGAGAGCGCATTCCAAGGCTCCAGTCAGAACGTTACCATTCAGTCACTTTATATCAGACAAAGTGGGCGGGAACAGAGTCATCACAGAGAGCCGGGCTTTACTGTACACCGCCTGATAATAACCCTCGTCATTTGACCCAAATAGAGGTCTCCAACCCCATTGCAGGATACGCAGCAAAGCGTAGTGACTGTGCGTTCCCGAGGGGCAAAACCTGGCAGCCCATTGCGCCCAGCGACGTCCCCACAAACAGCCGTGGGTCGAGTGACCGAGTTATTACCCCTATTTTCTTTCTGAAGGGAAGCCGACAGCTTAACATATGAGGTGAGCCTCTCCCCCACCCCCACTCTGTGATGCGATCCCAGAAACTCACCAGGTAAGTAAGTTGCGTGTGAACCTCAATGGTCACCAGTATTGATTGGTGTCTATTGGTGAAAGGTTACCGTCCCACAAGAACCTGTTCAGCCCTCAGTGAGTCAGCCCACTGTTCCCCTTAATCCAGCAAACACTTCATGTCCTGGTTATAGCTGAAATAGAAAAGAAGGTCCGGTAAGGTCAAGCAAAGCAGCAATGTTAGTCTTCCCCTCTACCTCCTGTCTGACCGGCCTAAAACTGAGGGAATCCTCCCTCAGCTCCTGTTAATCCTGCAGCCAAAGCCCTATAAGTAACGGGGAGGGTGGGTCCTCGCTGGACAAGCAGCGGGAAAGCTTGGCCAGACAGCACACTCTGGGGTGTGGGTGGGACGTGGGGAATCCTCAGTCGGGTTTGGATACCCTTAAGCAAACGGGGACAGGCGTCCACGCGTGTCAGACACCCGGCTGGTCACGGTGCCGGGTTTCCGTGCGTGTCAGACACCCGGCTGGTCACGGTGCCGGGTTTCCGTGCGTGTCAGACACCCGGCTGGTCACGGTGCCGGGTTTCCGTGCGTGGTCAGACACCCGGCTGATCGAAAACCAACCCTGGACAAGAGTCCTCTGGCCGTTAAATGCTGATAAAGCAGCAGTGAATCAGAGGTTACCGTTTCAGTCACCAACAATCAGACTGGGGCGATAACAGGCTCAACATATTTAGCCGCTAAAACTAATTCCTCCAGCGAAAACCACCACCCCCTAAAGAGTGGAGCGGACACGTGTCTCGACCTTACCTCGGTCTGATCTCTTTTGTCCTCCACAGCTCCGTAAGGTACAAGGTCCTGCGGAGAAAGTTCACTTTGCCCGTTACTTAAATAATAATAATCTTTCTGAGTTTGACCCAGCGCCTGATCATGTCTAATTTCGCCGCGATCTCGGCTAACCTCTGTTAACCCCGCCCGCCAAAAAGTCTCGGCTCTTGCCAACCTGCGCCTAATACTTGGGTAAGCAGGGTGCGCCCCTCCAGGGAGAGAGGAGAGAAAGAGAGAGCGCATTCCAAGGCTCCAGTCAGAACGTTACCAATCAGTCACTTTATTTCAGACAGAGTGGGGCGGTAACAGTGTCATTACAAGAAGTCGGGCTTTACTGTAGAGCACGGCGGCTGAGAGCACGGCCGCTGGTGGTGGAATGGATGAGTGTACTTTCAGCCACTACATCCTGAAACTCCGGGACACTTCCTCTCTCCCCTCACCCGCCTTGCCCCTTCCTTCCACATCTCTCGCCCAGAAAATACAGTTACTACACTTTGCAGTGTGTCCCGTGAAGCGCTTTGCTACGTCTCAAAGACATGACGAGGCGCTGTGTCAAATGCAAGTCTTATTAATATTATTATCCTGATCCTCAGGTTGTGTCTGAAGACCTTCCTCTTCGAGAGGTGCCTACGGTCATACCCCACCCCCAGCTCAGCCACTGTCAACGCTACCCAGGTTGCTGCTCACCTTTGCCGGTTGCTCCCGAGTTTCGTGCCTGCAAAGGAACACAGACAAACGGGGTCGGTTACTCCAGGTACCCCCACTCCGGCCCGCCCGCCCACTGTCAAATCCCATCTGTTCAGAACGGATTGCCTGGGTCACAGTCAGTCGCGAGACCGACTCAGGGTATAGTGGTTTAAACATCATTTCAGATGGATTCCAAACGTGGGCAGCCGGCACTCTCTGGGCGAAGCCGGACACCCCCTAGGCGTCTGCTTCAGCATGTACTTTTCACAATAACCCCCGGGTTTGATGCAGCGTCCCAATCACGCTCATCGAGTCGTCTCAGATCGCTTCCGGCATACACCGCCAAGCGCATCGACTGGACATTTTGTGGGCGAAACGCGGCAGCCAATTGCGTAAGGCAAGCGGGCGTGGATTGAGTGGCCAAATTATTATTATTTTGATTCACCTAATCCACCAACGACCGGATTCCTACTCGTTGCAAGTTAATAATAATAATCCTTGCATTTGACATAGCAGTGACTGTATTTTGTGTGTGCACGCGTGTGTGTGTGAGAACTTGCTTAAGAAAGATTTTGCCCCGCCTGGGAACCAAAAACAGGTCCTCAAAATTATTGTTGACCAACAAAGCCACCGGAGTTTAGACAAGGGAGGTTGGATGCTGACTTGAGTGTCAAACACATCGACCACACTCACCTGGATCGCTTTTCGAACGCTGTTTGCGGGCGTTGGGATTTCGACGGGACCACTTTCGCTCTGAAATAAAACGCAAGGAACCGCTCAACTCTCAGGCTCGTACCCAACGAATGCCACACCGCACGAGAGATCGTTGCTGTTCAGACCACGGAGTAACATCACAAGTTCAGTCGAACGAGATTCCATGAGTGAGATCATCATACAAGCAAACAAGATGGCGGCGGTGAGGGGGGGGGGGTTTCAGATAAGGTGCATCCCAGATTGGAGTGTGCGATCGCACATCTGAGGTATGGAACTCTCTCTCTCCCCCACCAATCCCTCTGCCTCTCCCCCCTCCCGACCTTCAGACCCCACCTAAAGACCTTCCTTTTTTGACCGTGCTTACGCTCACTGCCCTCGGCGTGTTGTCAGATGCCACCGTTGGTCAAGTGCCCTGCGGACACTCCTGCCCCACGTGAAGGGCACTGCGTAAATGCAGGTTGTGTTGCGTGGGGTTGTTTGGCCTTCTGGAAATGTAACCCGCGCAGAACACCCGGTCCAAGGTTACTTGGTACCCAACAATAATAATATTAGTAGCACTTTGAAGGGATTACTCCCCCCTTAAAAAGTGATCCACTGATCGACTAACAACCGGGGTCCTACCTACTGCTCGGTAAACAACGGTGTGAGTGTGAAAGGTAAGGAAACTTGTCTAAACTTCCCTGACCTGGGAATTGAACCCAGGTCCTCTCGCTTGTGCTCTTACCACTGAGCTATAGGACTCAACTGATACAGCCTTAAGTTACCATCACTGTGCTTTGTTGATTTAAGACGATAACAGTGGACATTCAGACAACGCGCACAAGAATTTACTCACCACTCAGCGGTCAGTCGCAGCGGTCATTTGCCTGGACTGGAAAGGAAAGGGACAGTTCAGCAGGGTGATAGAAGGCAGCACCCCAGAGACGTTAACACACTATCAGAAGTTGCTCAGGCTTTTAATGTTGCTTTCACACGGATTCAAAGTGAGCTAGGTTCCTCATCATTGCACTTCGGAGGAGAGCTTGCAGAGACAGCATCGTCTGTGGGAACTGATGGCTATATGATAATAATGATCCTTGCATTTGATATAGCGCCTTATCTTGGCCTCAAGGGTATCTCAAAGCGCTCCACAGGACATACTGCAAAGCGCAGTGATTGCGTGTCTTCTGTGGGCGAAACGCGGCAGCCGACTGCGCTCAGCGACACCCCACAAACATTGAGCAACCAATTTATTATTATTATTATTATGGAAGGAATCAATACCCCTGGAAAAGCCAATCGATGGAACAACTGGGTTCCTCCTTACTGCTGGGTAAACAGTCGCAAGCGGTGTGTGCGGAGCAAGGAAACTCGCCCAACGTTTCGCCCCGCCCGGGGATCGAACCTGGGTCCTCTCGCAGGCTCTAACAGGACTCCACGACTGGCCGAGGAAATAAGCAAGTGGCCTAACACCGCTCATTCTAGACTGGCCAAGATTTAAACGAGGTAAACTGGGACTTCCAACTAGACCTGCGACAGACTACACACTACCCAGAGCGTCTCAACTCGTTTTAATCCTGGGCACAACACCATCATAGCAACACTCGTCACGTACACAAGAAGAAGAATCCTGGCAGTCAATCCATTTTACAGCCTATTCTGTGAAGCGCTTTGAGACGTCTCAGCGGCGTGATGAGGCGCTCTACCAAATGCAAGGAGTGTCGTGGCCGTTACTGCATTTGACACAGAGCCTCGTCATGTCATTGAGCGTTATCAAGGGGCTTCACAGGATACACTGTCAAGTGGAGTGACCAAGTTTACTTTGTGGGCGATAACAAATAAACAAGACGACACGGCCCACTTTGTTCCACCCGAGCGTTACTCACCGGTTTGGCCCACTTTTCTTTGTGATGCCTACAAAAAAAAAAGTAAAATGACCCATTAAGACTCCCGTCAGCAGGCTCCGTCCCTGTCATTGACAGCAGCGCTAACATTAGTCCTATCAGACAGTTCACAAGTAACAGGTTCGCCTCATTTCATGCAGCAGATACCAGTGGGTTCACCTTTGCAGGTTCTGGCTCCTGACAACACATAAGACATGCAATGAAGTCATCCTGAGGACCAATGCGCTACCACTGACCACAAATCAAGCCTGGCTGCCACTGACCCAACTCCCCGGCACGCAGGATACAGGGATAAATTACAGGCGATGGCGGTTTGGCCGTCGACAACATGCACTTGCTCTGCGCCTGTCACGCCGGGCAGTGTCTCGGGAGCACTTGGCAGCACGGAACCCCACGCCAAGCCAGGGGAGAGGGAGTTTAGTGCGGGCGAACACAGTCGCAGTTTGCGGGGATTGAAGCTGGGGATACTGGCGGGGAGGGGGAGGGGGGGGGCAGGTCATGTAGCTATTGCAGCCTGGTGCAGCGTTCAAGCTTAAGCCGCTGATCAAGCTAAGTTGCTCTGCTACGCAAAGGCTCCAAGTCGAGAGACATTGAAACGAGACTAGTACTCACCAAGTGTACCCCCTTTTCCCAGCCGTGGCCATTTCCTGAAACAGAACAAGCGGAGACCGTGAGCACAGACTCAAAACTAACGGCCTACCTACACCGCAAGGTACAACTGGTTTGATCAGGGCTTTGGTGACTCAAAAAGTATTATCAGTCGACAATATGCCGTCCACTTATTTCTGGGCAATACCCATATCATCCTCTCAAACCAGGGAACGTGACACCCTAACCACACACACAGACCCATCCCCGCAATAAAGGTGTTCCACTATCAAGGGAAGAGTTATTGTTAAGTGACTGCTCCTGAGCTTCTGACAAACCCAGACGTATGCCTAGAAGACACATTTTAACAATAATCATCCTCGAGTTTGATATTGAGACGTCTCGCTGGAGCGCTTCACAGAATAAACCAACAAATTTGTTCACTCAGCCCACAACCGTTTGTGGGATGTCGCTGTGCGCAATTGGCTGCCGAGATTCACCCGCAAATCACAGTCAATTCGCTTTACAGTGTATTCTGTGAAGCGCGTTGAGACGTCCCAACAAAGTGATCCAAGCGCTGTATAATAATAATAATCCTTGCATTTGGCGTAGTGCCTTATCCTGTCTTTGAGAGATCAAATTTTGATATTTATATTCCAATAATAAGATATAAAATGCAAGGATTATTGTTGTTATCATTTGGAACAGCTAAAATCTACAAAAAGCAGCGGGCAAATACTTCAGGCAGGGATTAAGAGGTCCAAGTGGTGACACCACAAACAGCTGCTGCTCGCAGCTATGAGATGTCTGCAGAGACCAGAGAAATACAAACCTTGGCGACGGGATAGAGCCGAGTTTGCTTGCACAAACGAGGTCACATTCAGCAGCGGTGCGTGCTCCTGCCGGGAGAAACGGGACAACATTTCAGATTGCGACGCGCCCGGAACAACAAAAACCGGTTCATTTCTGGCCACTGCTGTTTTTCAGAACAAGTTTTGAGCATCAAGGTTTACTCAGATATATGCTTGTCTATTTGTTATGAATCATCATGAACAGCAGTTAGGACGGCAGACTGAAGATTGCAGACTGTAGACTATATATGCCCGGTTCAGAGCTTCAAAATGGACGACAAAAAAAAAACACCCAAATTTATATGCTAATTTATACATGGTTTACAAAACGAAAAGCTTACTCAGTGCTCACCTCAAGAGAACTGGCACCAACAACAGACAAGTAACCTGAAAAAGAAATCAAAGCTCACTTGAGATGGCAGCCAACCACTGCTCGAACCTGGGGCTAACAAAAAAGGCAGCAGTGGGGTAAATGACAACTGAACTATAAGGGAACAGCTTCTGTTTCCGTACAGCGCCTTTCGCGCCCCAAAGTCTCGGGGCAGAGCGGCTGAAAGAACGTGCGACCAGCCGGAACCAGCCCCGCTGAGGGTGGGGAGCGTGAGGGTCTTGTAGCCGAGAGAGAGAGAGAGAGAGAGAGAGAGAAAAAAAACTCCCCCAAGTTGGTTCACTACGCGACTGCCGCAGTGAGTATCTGGAGCAGCTTTACAAGTGCAATTTAAATGGGTCATTCAGATCTGTGTTCACCCCATCCCCACTGGTCACCAGTGCCACTCAGAATATTAAGTTTCTACACAGTTTATGCAGAAAGAGAGAGTTCAGGTGAATTCATCTTGGTGGCACAAAACGGCTCCTCCCCCGTCAAAACGCAATGATATACTATGATTTACACCCACTCTGCACCCCCCCACCCCCATCCCAACAGAGCATCTAAATTACTTGGCTAAATTACATTTGTATTAAGACCAATTACCTGTGCCAAAGGGCTCCCACCGCTGCACCTGAAGCAAAGGGACAGTCCAATTAATTTAGCGGAAGCTTCTTAAATAGACATTTCACGGGATATGTAAGAAAACACGTGAATAATTCTGAACCATTCGCTTAATCGCTTTGCAGTCGTCTTCCTAAACATTCTCCCGACTCGATGGCTCCCTCAGAAACCCCACCCCTTAAACAGTGATGGATTTCCACGTGTGGCCGATCACAAATACGACAACCAACAGACCGTACTCCCCCCCCCCCCTCCCTCTCCACCTCCAGCATAATATAATCCTTGTGTTTGACCCCCAAGTTTGTAATTCTCCCTCTGGCTATCACCTACCAATTAACCTTCTCCCCACACCCATGGCTTCCTCTTCCCCCCCCCACATTCCCCCCTCCCCGCCCCCCCCATACACACACCCCTCTCCCCCCCCCCACACACACACACTCCCCCCCCCCCACATTCCCTTTCCCCGCCCCCCCCACACACACACATTCCCCTTTCCCCGCCCCCCCATACACACACCCTCTCCCCCCCCACACACATTCCCCTTTCCCCGCCCCCCCATACACACACCCCTCTCTCCCCCCCCACACACATTCCCCTCTCCCCCCCCCCCACACACATTCCCCTCCCCCCCACACACATCCCCCTCCCCCGCCCCCCCACACACATTCCCCCCTCCCCATTCCCCCACCCAAATTCCCCCCTCCCCGCCCCCCCCACACATTCCCCTCTCCCCGCCCCCCCACACACATTTCCCCCCTCCCCGCCCCCCCCACACACATTTCCCCCCTCCCCATCCCCCCCCCACACACATTCCCCTCTCCCATTCCCCACCCAAATTCCCCCTCCCCATCCCCCACACACATTTCCCCCCTCCCCGCCCCCCCCACACACATCCCCCACACACATTCCCCCCTCCCCGACCCCACACACACATTCCTCCCCAACCCCCAGGTCGCCTCCAGCTCCCACCCCCCCTCAAAAAAAATTCCCAAATCGTGCCCGGCCCCACCCACCCCCAATTCTTTCTCGGGAGTCACAGCTCGTCTCATCAGCTCCATTGAGGAGGAACATGGCTCGATCACGGTTGCATCAGTACAGGTCTGTGAAAGGTCATCATCATCGAGACAGCCGAGGCCCCGGGGCGGGCGGGAGGGGGGGGGGCGCGGAGAAATAATAGCGCCTAAAGAACCATCGGGTACCGAGGCGTGAAAAGCCGTACGACTCGGGGCCCGGTGAGGCCGGGGAGAGGAGGATGGCGCCGGATTGACTTGACCCGCCATCTCTCTCTCGCTCTCTCTCAGAGCGACATGTCCACTCACCTGAAACCGCAGGCGACAAAATGGCCGAACGACGGCCACGGCCGGAACTTATAGGGAGCGAGAACCGCGCCGGTGGCATTGTGGGTAGCGCTGCCTTATATGGAGAGCCGCGCCAGTGGCATTGTGGGTAGCGCTGCCTTATATGGAGAGCCGAGCCGGTGGCACTGTGGGTAGCGCTGCCTTATATGGAGAGCCGCGCCGGTGGCATTGTGGGTAGCGCTGCCTTATACAGCCGCGCCCGGGGCATTGTGGGTAGCCCGCGAAAAAAAAAAGGGATTCGAAAGGCGCCCGCCAACCGCCACATCCGGGGCCTGGGGTTTTGGCGGTTGGTGGTTTGGTTTTGGCGCCTTTTTTGGGGGTGACGCCGCCCGCCCGGCGCCATCTTTGACGAGGACGACGACGACGACGACGCGGATGATGGACGTCGACAGCTTCTTTTTTCTGAGGGGAACCTGAGAGGTAACTCGGTGTTGATTATAACGTGGAGGTCGCGCAGCTCAGACACGGACACGTACCCACACGTCAAGTGCAAGGATTATTATAATTATTATTACACACACACACACACACGAGGGTTATTCTTGTTGGAGCAGAGAAGGTGACGAGGAGACCTGATAGAGGTCTTCAAAACCACGAGGGGATTTGATGGGTTAGAGAGGGACAAACTGTTCCCACTGGTGGGTGTGTCGGCGACGCGAGGTCACAGATTCAAAATAGTCTCTAAAAGAAGCCGAGGGGAGGGGAGAAGAATTTTTTTTCCACGCAGCGAGTTGTTCGATTCTGGAAGGCGTCACCTGAGAGGGCGGTGGAGGCCGATTCGATAACTACTTTTAAAGACGCGGTGGACGGGTATTTGAGGCGGACGGGTTGGCGGGTTATGGGGAAAGGGCCGGGGAGTGGGACTGACATTGCATTGCTCTTTTCAAAGAGCCGCACAGACTCGATGGGCCGAATGGCCTCTTTTTGTGATGTACGATTCTATGATTCTACACTTACATACGTACATGGACACATACATACATACACACTTACATACATACACACTTACATACATACATAGACACATACATACATGCATACGTAGAAACACATACATGCATACACATATACATGCATATGTATGCATATACACATACATGGACACACATACATAGGCACACACACACATAGACACACACACATACATATACCTACATACACACATAGACACATAGACACACATACACACACATACATACATAGACACATACATACATAGGCACAAACATTGATAAACACACACATACAAACACATACATACACACACAGACGCATACACATAGACACACACAGACGCACACACATAGACACACAGACATACATAGACACATACATAGGCACATACATACATAGGCGCACACACACTTACATACATACATAGACACACACATGCATAGACACACATACATACACACTTACATACATAGACACATACGTAGACACTCACACACACATACATACATAGATACATGATAGACACACACACACGTACATAGAGACACACTCAAATGCATAGAGACAAACATAGAGACACACACACACATAGACACACACGCATATAGACACACACACATACATACATAGACACATACATACATAGACACTCACACACACTTACATACATACATAGATACATGATAGATACACACACACTTACATGCATAGACACATACACACGTACATAGAGACACACTCAAATGCATAGAGACAAACACACACAAATTTAGAGACACACACATATGCAAGGATTATTATGTTATTATATAGAGACATACAGAGACACACACACATACATAGAGACACACATACATAGGCACACATACATAGACACACATACACAGACATATATACATAGACACAGACATATATACATAGACACATACATACATAGACACACACACTTACATATATAGACACATACATACATAGACACTCACACACACTCACTTACATACATACATACATAGATACATACATAGACACACACACACTTACATACATACATAGACACATACATGCATAGACACACACACATACGTAGACACACATATACATACATACACACTTACATACATAGATACACACACACACACTGACATACATAGACACATACATACATAGACACACACATGCATAGACACAAACACACACAAACATAGAGACACACACACATACATAGGCACACACACACATAGACACATACACACGTACATAGAGACACACTCAAATGCATAGAGAGACACATACATATAGATAGACACACATGCATAGACACACATACATATATAGACACACACACAAATGTGGAGACACACATACATAGAGACACACACCCATACATAGGCACACACACACACATAGACACACACGCACATAGACACACACACACATACATATAGACACACACACACACAAATGTAGAGACACACATACATAGAGACATACACACATACATAGAGACATACACACATACATAGAGACACACACACATACATAGGGACACCACACATAGAGACACACATACAAACATAGAGACACACACACGTACATAGACATACACACACACATACATACAAACCGCCCAGTCACTACATTTTATTTTAAATTCCTGTGAAATGCTTTGAGATGGTTTGTCGACAAGATAAGGCCCTTTATCAAATGGAAGGATTGTTAGAAAATACCCAGTTACTATACTCGACAGTAAAGTCCTGCAATGTGTTTTGAGGCGTTTCGGAGTTAAAAATGCGGGTTCTTTCTTCTTTCACACCAGGTGGTGCTGTGGTTCCACCATCAACAGTCTTTCCCTCACAAACACTGATCCAAAAATTCACTGCCTGAATTGAACTTGTTTACTTGTGATTGAATATTTAGCAACTTTACCATTTCGTCCTGGGTACACGGCACAGTGGAAAGATGGCCCCGTGAGCCACTTGTCAGGCTGTTGAAACCCTCGTTACGACCAGGTTCGACTATGCCAATGCCCTGCTCGGCGGTCGGCCTTTCGAACTCCTCTCTCCCCACAGGCTGCAGATCATCCAGAACACTGCAACCCGTGTCCTCTCCCTTCGTGACCCCCGCATCGCGCCTACCCTCGCCCGGCTCCACTGGCTCCCCATCCTTCAGAGAATGTGGAGTTCAAAATTCTCATCCTCAAGGCCCTCTATGGCCTCGCCCTCTCCGACCTGCTAACCCCTTAACAACCTGTCCGCTCCCTCCGCTCAGCAGGCTCCAGCCTTGTCCTCGCCACGCCCGCCCGACCATCGGCCCCCTCCTACCTCTCCACCTTAACTGTGACTATATCTCTGACCTGGACGCACAGTGTAGAGGGAGCGTTACTGTGTCTCTAACCCTGACCTGGGAGTGTGGACGCACAGTGTAGAGGGAGCGTTACTGTGTCTCTAACCCTGACCTGGGAGTGTGGACGCACAGTGTAGAGGGAGCGTTACTGTGTCTCTAACCCTGACCTGGGAGTGTGGACGCACAGTGTAGAGGAGGTTTACTGTGTCTCTAACCCTGACCTGGGAGTGTGGACACACAGTGTAGAGGAGCGTTACTGTGTCTCTAACCCTGACCTGGGAGTGTGGACGCACAGTGTAGAGGGAGCGTTACTGTGTCTCTACCCCTGACCTGGGAGTGTGGACACACAGTGTAGAGGAGCTTTACTGTGTCTCTAACCCTGACCTGGGAGTGTGGACGCACAGTGTAGAGGAGCTTTACTGTGTCTCTAACCCTGACCTGGGAGTGTGGACACACAGTGTAGAGGGAGCGTTACTGTGTCTCTAACCCTGACCTGGGAGTGTGAACACACAGTGTAGAGGGAGCGTTACTGTGTCTCTACCCCTGACCTGGGAGTGTGGACGGACGCACAGTGTAGAGGAGCTTTACTTTGTCTCTAACCCTGACCTGGGAGTGTGGAAGGACAGCGTAGAGTTTTAACTTTTTTTGTAGTGTTTTAACGGGATGGATAATAACTTGAATATTGATAACAAATGTCCAAAGCAATAATTGATTTGATTGAGATTGTCAAATAATAACAACTTGAAAACAATCTGGTAAGTAAATAAAGCGTGACTAAGTAGAAGATTAGATATTTGATCAGTTACTTTTTAATCAGGGAGAGTTTCGGTTGTTATAAATTCTGTAATTCGGTGAGAAAGGTCAAGTAGTTGTTTCTCACAGTCATTGTGTTTCGACTCTATCCTTACAGGAGCGCTCATCTGGTCCGTTTCAGTCAACCATCACTCCATCTCGCCCAGTCCCCGCTCTGTTCAGTCCTTTTCTCTCTTATCTTTGATTCTGGGACCAATTTTGCACCTGCAGTTCCCAGTCAGTCCCCCGGGGGGAGGCTGTGGCCTCACTGAATCACCCCTCCACATCCCACAAAAGTCCGCCGAGGTGGGAGGTCCATCTGTAATGTGGTTCATACACTTTGGTGTCATTGGTGGCTTCACTCTGCCGGGGTTTCATATCACAGAGAGAGTGTATTTGTTTGTGCGCATGTGTGTGTGTGTGTGTGTGTTTGAGAGAGAGAGAGAGGGAGAGAAGTGAGCTCTGGTGTGAGGTTCCCAATGTTAATCCAAGTCTCTGCCAACAATGAGTCTGTCCTTTCTCACCGTCTCTCTGATCGCCATCCTCTGGCCCTGTGAGTATCTCTCAACATCTCTCAATTCCCCCCAGGCTCCTGAATACACTGGGATTTCATATTACACCCTCTCTCTGTCTCAGGCTCTATATTTGTCTCTCTATCAGTACATGTGTGTGTATCTGTGTGTGTGTGTATATGTAGTATTTGTATGTGTTCTCTGTGTGTTTGTGTTCTCTGTGTGTTTGTTGTGTGTGTGTGTATGTATATATGTGTGTGTGTTCTCTATCTGTATGTGTTTGTATGTGTGTGTGTTCTCTATCTGTATGTGTGTATGTGTGTGTGTTCTCTATCTATCTGTATGTGTGTGTGTGTGTATATATGTGTGAGTATCTTTGTGGGTGTTCTCTATCTGCATGTGTATGTATATGTGTGTGTGTGTGTGTGTATATATGTGTGAGTATCTTTGTGGGTGTTCTCTATCTGCATGTGTATGTATATGTGTGTGTGTTCTCTATCTGTATGTGTGTGTCTCGTTCTCTTGGTCACCCGGTTCCTGAGTCTAGAGGGTCCACAATTCTCCAGGTCCCAGCCTGTCTGGCAGCAGGACTTATAGGGGAGCAGACTGGTCACTGGGGTCAAGGATTCTTCCCAATCAGCTCCTGATCCAAAGCCCTGGTTTGGGGGCGGTCTGTGTAGCGTGAAACTTGCCACGCAGCGCTCACAATGGAGAATGGGGGGAAAAGCCATGAGATACAAGCTGGTCAAACCCCAGCAACGACTCCCCCGCCCACCGCCACCAATGTGTGGGGTGGGAGTGGGAGGGGCGAAGTCTATCTCTCAGTGCCCGGCCGACAGATACAATCGTCACGGCTGTTTGCCTGGAAGTGGCTGCCGTGTTGGCCCACAACACACAAGTCACTACCCTTCGCAACGAGTCCCACTTTTGTTTCAATGCTTGTGTCTCCCTCAGGCTGGGGGACAGCCGAGCTGATCTATCAGTGGCCTCCGAGGACGGTGGTGAGAGAGAGCGACTCTGTGCTATTGGGTTGTCACCAGAATGACAGCAGTAAAGATGTAATGCTCTGGTACCAGCAGAGAGATGGAGAGGGCCTGAGACTGATCGGCTTTACCTACTATCCGAGCCCACCGACTATGGAGAAGGACGAGCAGAGTAATTTTGAGATCATATCGCAAGGTCAGACAACATCTCGGCTGAACATCTCAATGGTGAGAGCGCCCCAGGAGGGGGTGTATTACTGCGCAGCCAGAGATAAGCACAGTGAGAGAGATTGACTGAAAGCTCACTCATAAACCTCACTCCTCACACACCCTTCCTGCCACTCCACCTCCCTCCCCGCTTCACACTGGCACCTGTACTCTCCAACAGAATAAAGCAATGTAGACAGAGAGACAGAACGTGAGAGCGAGAATGAGTAGATCATCACGCCAACTGGCCAACAGAGGGCAGATATCTCCCCGAGGGACACAGAGAGAGAGAGTGGTGGTGGGGTGGGGGAGGGTGGAGACACCAGCCCTTGACCTAGTTTAGAGAGCACAGAGCATAAGGGAAATTTGAGGTCGGATAAACCAGCAGCAAACTATCTGCCCACATCTGCTCTTTGCGATTTGTGCTGAGTGTGGCCGGTGACATCCTGTTATTGTGTGGAGCTGTGCTGTTTTGGCTCTGTGGTTTAGCAGGTGTCAGGCTTGTAGCTCGGGCTCTGGGCTCAAGGTTCTGAGTCTGAGCTCCATGTTGTGGGGTTTTGGGGTCACAGTCAAGGCTATCTTTTTCTCTATTGTTTCTTCTCTTCCTCTATCTGTTTCTCCCTCTATCTGTGTCTCTTTGTTGGCCTCTCTTCCATCCCTCTGTCTCTGTGTGTGTGTGTGTGTCTCTCTCTCCCATCTCCCTCTCATTCTCTCTCTCCATCCCCACTTGTGTCCTCTCTCCGGCTATATATATTTCATTATCTGTCTCTCTCTCTCTCCCTCAATATATCTCGATTTCTCTGACTTTTGCTCTCTTTGTCTGTCTCTCCCTCTTTCTGTCTATCTCTCCCTTTGGCTCACTCTCTGTCTCAATCTCAGAGTCTCTTTGTTTTTAGCTCAGTTTCTCTGTCTCTGGTTCTTTCAGGCATCTCTCTCTCTCTCCCTCTCTCTCTCTCACACCTATCATGTGCAAATCTATCTCAAGAGAAGCCAGATAGATGGCGAGCGATAGAGACTAGGAGACAGAAACCAGAGAGACTGAGACAGACTCAGAGACACAGAGTGAATGAAATAGAGCCCGACTTTGCTTTTTGTTCTTCAACGGCTAAATCCAAATCACATTTCCCTCTATGCTCTGTGTGCATTGTTTCTTCATCAATCTATACGTGACTCCTTATCAAATACCTTTTCAATTCTGGATATACTACAGCCATAGAATTGCCCTGATCTACGTTTGCCGTAACTAGCTCAAGTAGCTGTGTAAAGCTGGTCAAACTTGATCTGCCCTCCACAAATCCACATCTGTATAAGTACTCGCAAACCTGGTCCCTCATTATTCCACCCAGAGGCTTACGTATCAGCGTGGCTCAGTCATCGGGATCTGGACTTTTGAACACAAGGTTGTGGGTTCAAGCCCCGTGTTGGGAGCTGGAATCACACAGTGTGTGCTGATGCTCCAGTGCAGTCCAGGGAGGGGGGAGGACCTGTTCAGATGAATGTTAAAGATCTCCTGTGGTGCAATTTGAAAAGAAAAAGGTATTTCTCTCTGGTGACCTGGCCAACATTTCCCCCAAACAAAATTGGTCGCTCGCTCCACGGCTGTTTGTGGGACCGTCGCTGTGCGGAAAATGATTGCTGTGTTTCGCCCGCAAAATATACAGTCACCACACTTTGCAGTAGATCCTGTGAAACACTTTGAGACGCCTCGACGATGTGATCAGGCGCTGTATCTAATGCACGGATTCTTATTTTAAACGGAATTGATAAAGACACCCAGATCAATTCTTTAGGATGCATCATGACAGTAGAACAAGAGGACACAGGTTTAGGGATGTAAAGGACAATTTCAGGACAGAGATCAGTTTATCTTTATCCAGAGGGTAATTAAAGACTGGAGCAGGTCACCAAGAGGAGGGTGCGTTTGAGGACTGGACGCTGGGACTCATTTAAACAGCTGTTCGATGCTGTGATGGGGGGGACGGTCGGTTGGGGCTTCTGAAGGGAATAGATCAGATGCGATGAAGGGCTTCCTTTACTCAGACCAATCTTGTGACACACACACAGACACACACACACACGCAGACGCGGACGCAGACACATTCTTGTAGAAAATGCAAAACACTGCAGATGCTGGAAATCTGGAGATAAAAACAGAAGTCGCTGGGAGCACGCACCAGGCCAGGCAGCATCTATGGAGAGAGAGGAAAATGAGCTAACGTTTCAGGTCGACAACCTTTCGTCGGAACAGGTGAAAGGCTTTCAACCTGAAAGGTTAACTCCTTTTCTTCCCCCAAGCTGCTGCCTGTGACCTGCTGCGTGCTCCCAGCGACTTCTGTTTCCATTTTGATTTTGGACAGTGACAAGAGTGAGACGGCGAAGGAAAGACTGAAAGAGAGATACGGAGGGAAAGAGAACCGAACGAGACAGGACAGAGAGCTACGGCGTAAGCGAGAGAAAGACAGAGATAAAGAGAGAAATGGAAAGAGACGGTAAAGAGATAGAGAAGGCGCGAGTGGGAGACACAAACAGAGAGAGAGGGAGAGACAGACATGCAGACAGAGAGCAGAGTGAATGCAGTATTAGGTCGGGGTGGATTGAGGAGAGATGGGGTGGGGGGAGGAAAGGGAGAGATAGCAGGTGTCTGCAAACACTTTAATGCTCACATTAAAAACACGCACAAAGTGCAGAACTTTCCACAACTAAACCTCACCACATCCGAGCGCTCCAATTCTTTCCCCCCCCGCACGCCCGACCCTTTTTCTACAACATCAACAGAGCCTTAGAAATTTGAGTCATAATCTTTCCAAGTGTCTTGAGCGGGTGGGGGTGGGTGGCAGACAATCAGAAACAAAGACAGACGAGACAATTACAGACACGTACAGACAGAAACATAGGTCCCGGCCCTAGACAGACAAGTGGAAACAGAACCAGACAGAAATACAGACAGAAAGAGCCAGAAGGGAGAGCGACACAGACAAACAAAGACACACCCCACACACACACACACACACACACAGGCAAACGCGCGTAGAGACAAACGCGTACAGGCACAGAGAGAGACACAAGATACAAAGACAGGTAGAGACAGACACAGGCAGAAACAGCTGCAGCGCTAACTACGACCAACCGTTTGGTCACTTCAATCCACGACTGTTTGTGGGACGCCGCTTTGCGCGGTCGGCTGCTGTGTTTCACCCACGAAACGTACAGTCAATTCACTTAACCGTTTTGAGACGTCGCGATGACGTGCTGAGGCTCCAGATACCAAGTGCAAGGATTATTATGATTATTATTATTTTGAGTCACTCCCTTTGGTGGCCATTTTGACAGCGTCCGGAAGCCACTTCTGACAGCCATTTTGAGGCTGGCCTCAAACCAACGAGAGAGAGAGAAAAAAACTGAATAAGAATTAAATGCGAATAAAAATCAGAATTTAATAAACGAAGGAACTACGTCGCTACATGGAAGCACTTACTCGGTGCAAGTCGGTAAATTGTACGTTACAATAGCGAAAGATTTGTTATGTGCAGTAAAGGTCATACCACACCCACATGTCACCACACTGGAGTTCTCTACTCTAACCCCAACCATCTCCCTCCAGCTTGAGCACTTAATGGTGCTCATTCCCCCCAAACTGAAGCTCTCTATTCTAACCCCAAGTGCTATCTCTCTCTCTCTATCTCCCCCATCGTAGTACTGCTCGCTCCCCCTCTCGAGAGCTCTCTGCTCTAACCCATCCCCGGCCAAGAAATATTTAAACTAAAAGTGGTTTATTTTTGATGATATTCTCTCTGTCTCTTGTGGAATATCTTCACCGATTCGGAATCAGTCAAATTGCTTCCTGGAAAGAGACTGGGGAGAAAAACGGGAATAAAATGTATAATTTAGTTTTAGTTTCCCACAACACTCAACGCTCCCACCTCACACACGTCTGAAAGCTTAGTAACAACTCGCACTTATTGAGTGAAACTGTTTAATTTTTACCTTGGTTTTCCAGGCAATGAAGGATATCATAACGCCATAGAGAACACTTTTACAGACTAGGAGGAGATAGGTCAATTTTCCAGTCACCATTCTCTCCTGCATTTCATCTAAGAAGCAACAGAAATTTGTAAGTCAATGAATCTATCCTCTTCACCCCTCAATTCTCTCTCCACCTCCCTCCCACATCTCGAACCACCCTTTTACTCCTTAGGTCTCAAATCATCTCCTTCTCACAACATAATCCACGCCCTTAATCCTCAAGACTCAATCCATCTCCGTCTCACACTTCAGCCCCTTGGGACGGCCTCCCGATGTGATTTGCTGCTGCTGTTGTCGATCAAGCCATGATCTGACCCCACAATTCTCCATCCATCCTCCTCTCACACCCCAATCCACTCTAACTCCCCAAGTCTCCATCTGTCTACCTCTTAAGCGCTCTGAGACGCCGTCTCCGGAGTGGAGGGCGCTATATAAATCCAAGTTGTTGTTTGTTTGTACTTCGGTTCATTTACATACCTCCCAAGTCTCTTATCTATCTCCTACGCAAATGTAATTTGTTGTTGTTTGTTTGTTTGTTTGTTCCTCCATCTCATTTAATACCTCAATATCCCCTTACTTATCCAGAATATATGTCCAGTCTTTCCCACTCACCTTTTGTCAGAGAGTAACAGATCCCTGGAGGGGAAATAAATGAGAAGAAATTACTACATTTTGCTTCATCACCTCAGACCTGAGATAGCTTTCCAAATGATTGGAATGTTGAAATTTCCTTTCTGGATACCTCTCTCTCCCCTCACCCCCCCGCCCCCCCCCACCACCCTCCTCTCTCTCTCTCTTTCTCTCTGACAGTCCTGTAGGTCACTGTCCCACAGACCAGCCCAGCCCGTCTGGTCGATAGTACTTGGAGGGTAGCACACCATGGAGAGGCTGGGATTCTTCCCATTCGGCTCCGGAGCGAAAGCCCTGACTGACGTCTGTGATTTTTCTGCAGCTCTAAGTCTTGTTGGGGATGGGTTTGGGCTGCCAGCAGCCATGCCCTGGAGTACTGCTGACCTATCTGGTTCAGGAACCAGACTACCGAGGCCACCATTTGGGGTGGAATTGATTCTGACACTGCTTGGAGCCAGTTCAGCATCAAGAAGACCTCACTTACCTTCCTACTGAAAGAGCTTTCAGGGACCAGGTGGAAATGATAAGTCTCGTTTGGAACGCTACAGTGTGTGTCAGATGCCCCGGCTGCTCATGGTGATGGGTTCAAACCCAGTCGAAACTCTCATCCACGCGTTCATCAACTCCCATCTCACCTACTCAAATGCCCACCTCGCCAGTCTTCCCAGCTACACTATCCACAAAATCCATTTAATCCAAAACTCTGCCTCCTGCAGACACGTCCACATCAATCCACATGCCCTCTAATCATGGCTGTGCGTTCAGGCACTCCCCAAAACACTGGAACACTCTCTCCCTATCCCTCCATCTTGTCCCATCCTTCCCCATGTTCCGATCATTCCTGAAGACCTTCCCCTTCAACCGAGCCTTGGTCACCTTGCCCCTCCGCTGCTCAGGGTCATGCTCCACCTCTGTCAAGTGCTCTGGGGCACTACTATATAAATATAAATTGTTGGGTCAAGACCGGCTGGTATTTTGATGCATTTTGACACCTGCCTGAGGGTTTTATGAACGAAACAAACACTTTGACACACACGCACACACACAGATTTATGTGTATTTACCTCCTTTTGGTTTCACCTTTGCCTCGTGTTTCGTTATAGTAGTTCCTTCCCCAAAGTGGGTGACGCGGCAGGTTATAAGTTTGGCATCAGCCCAGTGGTTTACAGAGAGACGGAGGCGACTGCTCACAGAATACGTTGAGCTGGATTTTGACTTGAGGGATTTTAAATCGGTGTGAATTGGTCTGCTGTCCTCATTCTTAACCTGTAAAAAAAAAAAAAAATCCACATTAGGAAATGTCTCGGAACCAATTTCAGGGCAGGAGCAGACCATCGCTCCGTCTCTACGACTGCTGTGAACTCCACGACTATGTTTCTGTCTCAAAATCCGTGACCAATTACACAGTTGACCACAGCAGTATCTCTTTCCCTAGTTCCTGACCAGCTTCATATTCGAGTCGATCTATCAGCGGGTGGGATTTCAGCCCTGAGCTGTGAGCAGATCTCTCCACTCCCCCCCCCTCCCCACCAGCCAGCAGCCTTGCAGAGATTTTTAACATCCGCTGTAAATAACGACAGCATTCCTTGCATTTGATATAGCCCCTTAAAGCGTCATTTAGATGTCTCAAAGCCTTTCTCCGAATATATTGCAAAGTGGAGTGACTGTGCATTTATTTTGCAGGGGAATGGCGGCAGCAAATTGTGCACAGTCGTGTCCCACAAACACACGCGGAATTATTTATTTACTTGGAAGGGTTTATTGCAAGGTTAAGGCCCACGGGATTAATGGGAGCATATTAGCAAGGATTGAAGAGTGGTTAACGGGTAGAAAACAGAGAGTAGGGATAAACGGGTCATTCTCGAATTGGCCAGCGGTGACTAGTGGAGTGCCACAAGGATCAGTGCGTAGGCCTCAGTTTACATCAATGATCCAGACGAGGACATTGAATGTAACGTATCTAAATTCACGGATGACACTAAACTCGATGGGAGAGTAAGCTCTGAGGATGATGCAAAAAGATTGCAACGGGATATAGATGGCGAGGGAAGTGGGCGAGTCGGTGGCAGATGGAATTTAATGCGGGTAAGTGTGAAGTTATTCACCTCGGTGGCAAAAATAGAAAAACAGATTATTTTCTGGAGGGGGAGAGATTAGATAGTGTTAGTGTTCAGAGGGATTTGGGTGTCCTCGTACACCAGTCCCAAAAAGTTAGTTTGCAGGTGCAGCAGCAGCTAAGAAGGCGAACGGCAGTTAGCGTTCATTGCAAAAGGTTTAGAGTACAAGAGTAGGGAAGTCTCGCTGCAACTATAGGGCTTTGGTGAGACCGCACCAAGAGTATTGTGTGCAGTTTTGGTCTCCTTGTTTGAAAAAGGACATACTTGCCCTCGAGGGGGTGCAGCGTAGATTCACTCGGTTAGTTCCTGGGATGAGGGGACTGACCTATGAGGAGAGGCTGAATAAACCAGGGCTGTATTCTCTGGAGTACAGAAGAATTAGGGGGGATCTTATTGAAACATATAAGATTCTTAAAGGGCTGATAAAGTAGACACTGAGGGTCTGTTTCCCCGGTGGGAGAATCTATAACCGGGGGTCACAGTCTTAAAATTAAGGGTCAGCCTTTTAGAACAGAGTTGAGGGAACATTTCTTCACTCAGAGGGCTGTGACTTTATGGAATCCACTCCCCCAGAAGGCTGTAGATGTCAGTGCTTGAACATCTTCAAGGCTGAGACTGAGAGATGTTTAAAAAATAGAGGGATTAGCGGATATGGGGATAGAGCAGGTAATTAGAGTGAGGTCAGAAGATCAGCCGTGACCTTATCAAATGGCGGGGCAGCTCGAGGGGCCGAATGGCCTACTCCTGCTCCTAATTATGTTCTATTTCTCCTCCAAAGCGATCTGCCAATTGACTAACCATTCAAGGGGACACAAGGGCACAGTGTCAGTCTGACTGAAGCTAGATTGGGAGGGGGGGGATCTCAACTCCACAAACTTCTGACTCAGAAACCGGAGCCTGATTGACAGGGTTTGACCAATGCATAATTTTCCGACCACCGTGCTTTTCGCTTAGGCCAACTTTAAGACCACAGGGGCAGCCATTTCGGGACAAGAATGTTAGTGGCAGCCATGTTTGATCGTCGTCATGTTGTGAGCTTTTTTGGTACCGTTGTTAAATTCGAACCCGACCCCGTATCTCAGCTCGGATCAGTCGCTCGCTGTTTCGCCTCTGAATCGGAGAGTCGTGCATTCAAGATCGCAGCCTCGCGCTTGGGGATGTGAAATGTGGTACAATACACCGAATGTAGGGATTCTCCTGTTAATTTTCTTGTTCTAATCAGATTATTTAACACTCTTGAGAGATACTCACCAGCGCATCATTAATTTCCCACTCTATCTGAACTGCGTCCGGGTAAAAATCGGAGACAAGACACACAAATGTTCCCCGTTTCTCTGTCCTCAGCTCGTCGTGGGATGCATCGTACAGGAAGACGTTGGGTGGGTTTACTTTGTCATTTTTCCCTGAGGGAGCAATAGGGAGAGAAAGAGAAGGAATGAGAGAGAGAGAGTGTGAATGAGAAAGAGTAAGGGAGAGAATAAAAGACGGAAAGAGGGAATGAGAGAAAAATAAGAAGGAGAGCGAGAAAGAGAGAGAATGGGAGAGAAAATGTAAGAGAATAAGACATGGAGAGAATTAGAGATGTTATAGATATCTGTCTGTCACTGTTTACCTCTTTCTGTGTCCTCTGTCTCTGTCTCTGTGTGTGTCTCTCTGTCTGTCTCTCTAACTGTCTCGTTCTCTGACTATCTTTCTCTCCCTCTCTCTGTCTCAGTATCTCTCGCTATCAATCTATCCCTAACTGTCTATCTTTCTCTCCATATTTCTATTTCTCTCTCTCTCTCAATTTCTCTCCGTATCGGGCAGAGACCGGAGGAATTATAATAGGGGACAAAGACATGGCACAGTCATTAAACAAGTATTTTTCTACAGTCTTCACCGTAGAAGACACTGGAAACATACCAAAAATAGAGGACCAAGAAGCCAATGTTAGCGAGCAACTTAGGGAGATTAACATTAGTAAAGAGATGGTTCTCGGTAAATTGTCGGGTCTTAAAACCGATAAATCCCCTGGACCGGATGGCCTGCATCCGAGAGTTTTAAAGGAGGCGGCTACTGAGATAGTGGATGGCATGTCTGTAATCTTCCAAAAGTCTGTGGATACTGGAAAAGTTCCCATTGATTGGAAGATTGCAAACGTAACTCCACTATTTAAGAAGGGTGGGAGAGAAAATAGGGAAAACTATAGACCAGTTAGTTTGACGTCAGTTGTAGGGAAAATTCTTGAGTCCTTAATAAAAGACGTAGTTATGGGATACCTGGAAGACCATAAAAAGATTAGGCAGAGTCAACATGGCTTTACAAAAGTCATGCTTGACTAACCTTTTAGAATTTTTTGAGGATGTATCCAGCAGGTTGGATAAGGGGGAACCAGTAGATGTGGTATATTTGGATTTTAGGAAGGCATTTGACAAGGTGCCACACAAAAGGCTGTTACTCAAGATCAAGGCCCACGGGATTAATGGGAAAATATTAACATGGATAGAAGAGTGGCTATCGGGTAGAAAGCAGAGAGTAGTGATAAACGGATCATTCTCGAATTGGCAGGAGATGTAACTAGTGGAGTGCCACAAGGATCAGTGCTTGGGCCTCAGCTATTTACTATTTACATCAATGATCTGGACGAGGACATTGAATGTAATGTGTCTAAATTCGAGGATGATACTAAACTCGGCGACAGAGTGAGCTCTCAGGATGATGCAAAAAGATTGCAACGTGATATGGATAGGCTCGGGGAGTGGGCAAGTAGGTGGCAGATGGAATTCAATGTGAAATTATTCACCTCGGTAGCAAGAATAAAAGAACAGATTATTTTCTGGAAGGGGAGAAGTTAGATAGTGTTAGTGTTCAGAGGGATTTGGGTGTCCTTGTACACCAGTCCCAAAAAGTTAGTTTGCAGGTGCAGCAGCAACTAAGAAGGCGAACGGCAGTTAGCGTTCATTGCAAAAGGTTTAGAATATAAGAGTAGGGAAGTCTCGCTGCAACTGTGTAGGTCTTTGGTGAGACCGCACCGAGAGTATTGTGTGCAGTTTTGGTCTCCTTATTTAAAAAAGGACATACTTGCCCTCGAAGGGGTATAGCGTAGATTCACTCGGTTAGTTCCTGGGATGAGGGGACTGACCTATGAGGAGAGGCTGAATAAACTAGGACTGTATTTTCTGGAGTACAGAAGAATTAGGGGGGATCTTATTGAAACATATAAGATTCTTAAAGGGCTGATAAAGTAGACACAGAGGGACTGTTTCCCCGGATGGAGAACCTATAACCGGGGGTCATAGTCTGAAAATTAAGGGTCAGCCTTTTAGAACAGAGTTGAGGAAACATTTCTTCACTCAGAGGGTAGTGAACTTATGGAATTCACTCCCCCAGAAGGCTGTAGATGCTCAGTCCTTGAACATTTTCAAGGCTGAGACTGATAAGATTCTTGAAAAATAGAGGGATATGGGGATAGAGCAGGTAATCAGAGTTAGGTTTGAAGATCAGCCATGATCTTATTGAATGGCGGGGCAGGCACGAATGGCCGACTCCTGCTCCTAATTCTTAAGTTCTTATGTATCCCCCTCTCCCTCGCGCTCTGCATATAAAAAATGCAATGTTAGTAACACGAAAAGAGCATTAGGCAGATAGAGAAAGTAGAGAGAGAGAGAAAAAAAAGGAGACTTGATAAGACCAAAAGGGGATACAAGGAAAGACGCAGATGCAGCATATAGAAAAATACTAAAAAGATTTTAAAGACCCACACAAAAAATCTAGTTAAAAGAATATAGTTATAGTTGTTAAAGAAACGGGAGGTGAGAAGAAATGTTTTCACACAGCGAGTTGTTCGGATCTGGAATACATTGCCTGATAGCAACTTTTAAGAGGAAAGCAGATAATTATATAGGGAGAGAGAGCTGGGGAGGGTGATTGATTTGCAAGCTCTTTTCAAGCAGACACGATGGGCCGAATGGCCTCCTTTTGTGCTGCATAATTTCTGTAGTGGAGTCCTGTAGCTCAGTGGTTAGAGCACTCGCTTTGCAAGCGAGAGACCTGAGTTCAATTCCAGGCAGAGGGCGAAACCTTGGGCAAGTTTCCTTACTCCACACAGAGCCTAATAATAATCCTCCAAAACAAAACACAATAATAAATGGGTCATTTTCAATCTACGACTGTTTGTGGGACATTGCTGTGCGCAATTGGCTGCCGCGTTCGCCCACAAATATACAGTCAATTCACTTTACAGTGTGTTCTGTGAAGCGCTTTGGGACGTCCTCCCGACGTGAAAAGCGCTATATCAAAATGCAAGGATTATTATTATTATGATTCTATGAAAGTTACAGTCAGATGGAAGCAAAAAGGGAAATCTAGTCATACAAAATGAGGGTCTGTCAGAGATACGTAATGAGTATTTCATCAATGTTTTATGGACGAGAATGGTCGTAACTTATTGAGTATAAAACAACATCACTTTGCGTTTATATTCCCCAGTTCATGTTGGCAGGATATCCCACTGAAGAGCGGAGGATTTGCACCCAACCTGGGAGTTGGAACCAACAGGGTGGAGTGCAAAAGGAGAGCGGGCGGGTGGGTGGCTGAAGGCACAGTCGAAGTGGAAGGTCTTTAGACGTGGCTTGAAGGAGCCATGGGAGGGGGAATGGCAGAGGGATGGAGGATGGGGGCAGGAAGATTGAAGGCCCTATTGTTGATGGCAGAGGGATGGGACATGGGTGAGGCCAATGCCCACTGAGCGGAGGGAGCGGACAGGTTGGTAAAGGTTTATTTCGTCACAGAGGTAGCGAGGAGCAAGACCATGGATGGCTTTAAATGGGAGGACGAAGTTCTTGAACACAAATCTTTGGTGGATTGGGAGCCAGAGGAACTGGGACGTGGGGTGGGGGGTGGTGGGGGTGTATGTGAACAGCTCATGGAAATTTGCGAGGGCGAGGAACTGATAAAGTGCTTTACATGTCTTCTAGACGTCTCAAAGCGCTTCACAGAATATACCGTAAAGCGAATTAACTGTATAATTAATTGCGCACAGCGCCGTCCCCACAAACGGTGGTGGGTTGAGTGACCAATTTACTGTGTTTTTCTTTTTCCTCTTGAGGGGTTATTGTCAGGCGCGTGGGTAAGGAAACTCGCCCAAGGTTTCGCACTGCCGGGAATCCAACCCAGATCTCTTGCTTGCGAGGCGAGAGCTCTGACTACTGAGCTACAGGACTCCTTCAGGGTGAGGAGGATGTGCAGTAATTAATGGAACTGAAAGAGGTCAAGTCTGTAGTGTCCGAGAACAGTGAGAGTGTTGGGGAGGATATAGTTGAATATTCTGACTACAATTTGTCTAACATTCTTGGATGCGAAAATTGCGCCCGGATGTTCGGAGGGCAACTAATGTTTGAAAAGGCAAAACACACGTCCATTTACTCAAACTTTTAGAGGCTAATAATATGCAATAACAGTTATAACTACCGGGAATTTTCCACTGGAACAAAAAACATGTTGAGGCTTGACATGATCGAGGGTTTTGATAAGAGAACTAGAAAAACACATGAAAAAGAGCAGACAAGTGGAACTGAAAGGATTGCTCCTGAGTGAGTCAGCACAGACACAGTGGACCCAATGGCTTTCTTCTGCCGTAGCATTTCTATTCTATGGTTCAGTTTGTCCATCTCCCTCTCTCTCTCAGTCTCTCTTTCTGTTTCTCTATCTGCAAACCTCGGCTCTTACTAAACGGTGTCTAAATACTTTCCTGAAGCCGGGTGCGTCCTTCCAGTGAGAGACTGCACCTTCCATTGCAATAAATAGCTCTGGGATTTCTGTGTGCAGGTGGAATGCATGAAACACTATTTGATTTGAATCCTCGCAAGCACGATGAAGGATTTCCACATATGCCAGACACCTTACTGTCCAAACACAAACGATCTATCTCTGGCTCTTTATGTCTTTGTGTCTCTCTGGCTCTCTCTCGCGATGTCCCACCCTATTTCTCCATCTCCCTAACTCCCCTCCATGTCTCGATCTCTTAATTTGGGACCAATTGTAGGGCAGGAGTAGACCATCACTCCATCTCCCATCTCTGTCCCACCGTATGCCTGTTCCTATTCTGGGACCAATTTCAGGCTCATCTCACCGCTCCCTGAACCATTCCCTCCATGTTTCTGACTCTAAATGAAGGAGTATTTTCAGGGCAGCAATGGAGCCTCACTCTTATCTCACCCACACCTTGTTTTGTTCCCTCTGTATCCCTCTCTATCTTCATCTGCTTATCATCGATGTATCTCACACTTCACAATCTTCTTTACAGAGAGATGGTGATAACTACTGGGAATATTCCACTGGAACAAAAACATGTCGAGGCTTGACATGATCGAGAGTTTCAATAGAGAACTAGAGAAACACATGAGAAAGAGCAGGCAAGTGGAACTGAAAGGATTGCTCTTGAGGGAATCAGCACAGACACAGTGGACCCAATGGCTTTCTTCTGCCGTAACATTTCTATTCTATGGTTCAGTTTGTCCATCTCCCTCTCTCTCAGTCTCTCTATCTGTTTCTCCATCTGCAAGCCTCGGCTCTTACTAAACGGTGTCTAAATACTTTCCTGAAGCCGGGTGTGGACCTTCCATTGCAATAAATATCGCTGGGATTTCTGTGTGCAGGTGGAATGCATGGAACACTATTTGATTTGAATCCTCGCAAGCACGATGAAGGATTTCCACATATGCCAGACACCTTACTGTCCAAACACAAATGATCTATCTCTGGCTCTTTATATCTCTCTGTCTCTCTCTCTCTCTCTCTCAACGTCCAACCCTATTTCTCCATCTCCCTTCCCTCCCCTCACCCTGACCATTTCCCCCCTCCTCTCTCCCTCCCTTCCCTCCCCTCACCCTGACCATTTCCCCCCTGCTCGGGTCATGACCCAACTGTGCAGCGCCTTGGGACGTCCTCCTGACGTGAAAGGCGCTCTATAAATGGAATCTTGTTGTTGTTGTTGTTGTCTCTGTGTCTCCCTGGCTCTCTCTCTCAACTTCCCACCCTATTTCTCCATCTCCCTAACTCCCCTCCGTGTCTCGATCTCTTAATTTTGGACCAATTGAAGGGCAGGAGTAGACCATCTCACCATCTCCCCGCTCTGTCCCACCGTGTGCCTGTTCCTGTTCTGGGACCAATTTCAGGCTCATCTCACTGACTCCCTGAACTATTCCCTCCATGTTTCTGACTCTAAATCAAGGAGTATTTTCAGGGCAGCAATGGACCCTCACTCTATCTCACCCACACCTTGTTTTGTTCCCTCTGTATCCCTCTCTATCTTCATCTCCTTATCATCGATGTATCTCACACTTCACAATCTACTTTATAGAGAGACGGAGATAACTACCGGGAGTTTTCCACTGCACTGGAACAAAAACATGTTGAGGCTTGACATGATCGAGAGTTTCGATAGAGAACTAGAAAAACACATGAAAAAGAGCAGACAAGTGGAACTGAAAGGATTGCTCCTGAGGGAGTCAGCACAGACACAGTGGACCCAATTGCTTTCTTCTGCCGTAACATTTCTATTCTATGGTTCAGTTTGTCCATCTCCCTCTCTCTCAGTCTCTCTTTCTGTTTTTCCATCTGCAAGCCTCGGCTCTTACTAAACGGTGTTTAACTACTTTCCTGAAGCCGGGTGTGGACCTTCCATTGCAATAAATATCTCTGTGATAAATATCACATTTCTGTGTGCAGGTGGAATGCATGGAATACTATTTGATTTGAATCCTCGCAAGCACGATGAAGGATTTCCACATATGCCAGACACCTTACTGTCCAAACACAAATGATCTATCTCTGGCTCTTTATATCTCTCTGTCTCTCTCTCTCTCTCTCAACGTCCAACCCTATTTCTCCATCTCCCTAACTCCCCTCCGTGTCTCGATCTCTTAATTTGGAACTAATTGAAGGGCAGGAGTAGACCTTCACTCCATCTCACCATCTCCCCGCTCTGTCCCGCTCTGTGCCTGTTCCTATTCTGGGACCAATTTCAGGCTCATCTCACCGACTCCCTGAACCATTCCCTCCGTGTTTCTGACTCTAAATCAAGGAGTATTTTCAGGACAGCAATGGACCCTCACTCTATCTCACCCACACCTTGTTCTGTTCCCTCTGTATCCCTCTCTATCTTCATCTCCTTATCATCGATGTATCTCACACTTCACAATCTACTTTATAGAGAGATGGAGAGAGAGACTGAGAGATACGAGGTGCGGGAAAGAGAGAGAGGGAGACTGAGAAAGGGGGAGAACAGAGAAGAAGAGATTGAGAGAGATACTGACAGAGACAGAAAGGTTTAGAGAATTAGACTGAGACACAGACTGAGAGACAGAGACTTAGAGAGAGAGGGACTAAGAGAGAGATAGACTGATAGATACCGGGACAAATCGAGGGATAGACGGCCTGCGAGACTGAGACAAAGCGAGTTAAAGACAGAGACACACACAGCAGACAGACAGACAGACAGACAGACAGACAGACAGGCTGAGAGAGAATTAAAGTTAGAGACTGAGGGAGTGAGACAGAGACAAAGTTCAGGATAGACGCAGACATTTTGAACCGGAGAAATGAACTGAAACTCACCGAGAACAATTAACTTTGTTCCATCTGCAAAGTAGTTTACACCAGAGGAGCACAGAGACAGGTGGGCGTATTAAAACCTTAACCATAGAGAGAGATAGAGAGAGAGAAAAACATCAGGGAGACAGACAGAGACTGAGACAAGGCACGGCAGAGAAAGAGTGGATAGAGCGAGAGACACAGGAGCTGAGAGAATGAGTCTGAGAGTAACATACAAACAGACAGCCAGAGGCTGATGGAGAGATAACTAGACGGGGAGACTGAGACAAAGTTGTGTCCGATGCTCATATTTGAATCAGAAAAACCCACTCAAACTCACCGATAAGGATTAACTTTGTTCCATTTGAAAAGCAGTTTACATCAGAGACAGGAGAAAGATAGAGACAGAGAAGCAGAGAGAGAGAGAAAGACTGAGAGAAAGAGAGGGAGACAGACAGACAGAAAAAGACGGATTGAGACAGAGAGAGAGACAGAGTTCAAAGGCAAACATCAACAAGGACATGATGGAGGGTTGGGAGAGAGAGTAGGGAATGGGATGAGAATGGAGAGCTCCAGTGTGGGGGAAAGAGGACCAGAGCAGACCCACGCGAGAGAGCAGGGGTTGTGGGGTTAGAGGACAGAACTTTACCTAAGATTTATAATAATATAATAATAATCCTTGCATTTGATATCGCGCTTTTCACATCTTCTCGACGTCTCAAAGCGCTTCACAGAATGGACTGGAAAGTGAACTGACCGTATATTTGTGGGCGAAATGTATTTAAAAATGTCTTGAACTCACCGAGAACAACCAGTTTAGTCCCATCACCGAAGAATGCTGGATTGGTGTACACAGCGAGCAGTGTCTGACATATATCTCCTGTCTGAGAGACAGTGAAACAGAGGGAGACAGAGACAGAGAGAGAGACAGACAGACCCTCACATCCAGGTAATACTTACCCAGGACTCTCAGTCTTGTCCCTTCTCCGAAATACGCAATAGTGTTTGCACATCATGTCAACGACTGACATAAACACCTCCATCTCTTCGCCCCCCTCTTCTTTCACTCACTCTCTCCTCCTTCCTTCCTTCTATCTCCCTGTATCTCACTCTTTCTCTGCCTCTCTCACCCCCCTCTCTCCTGCTCTCACATCTTTCCCTCATTTGCTATCTGCTTCCTCCCCTCCTCTTATTCATCTCTCTTACTCTCTCCCCCCCCCCTCCCCTCTCTTTCTCTGGTCTCACTCCTGTCTTTCCCACAACTTCCCTTCCTGTTACTCCTACCATCTCTCTCTCTCTCTCTCCTGCTTCACAACTAAGTCCAACCAGAAGTTACTCGTAAACCCCATCTGTGATGGACCTACAGGAATCCCCTCCCACACCTAGTTTTTGTACAGCTGTTACCGAGAGATGTACCACAGTGCTCCCCCCTGTCCCCACAATGAGAAAGACTCGTTCAAAAACACCCACCGACAGAGAGAGAGGCAGAAAGACCACAACGCCCCCACCCACAACCCCACCCCACCCGCCCCCCCCCAACACGATCTACACGGCAAAAGCACAGTCTTTGCCTCCCTTAAGGCACCTTTTCCAATGTCTTATGTTATCCAAATTAGCAAATATGGCTTCTAATGCCAACCTATATAGAGGTGTCACTGAATATAAGACCATATAAAGGTGACACTATATAAAGGTGACACTGTTAATATCAGACTATATAGAGGTGACACTGTTAATATCAGACTATATAGAGGTGTCGCTGTTAATATCAGACTATATTGAGGTGCTCACTGTTAATATCAGACTGTATAGAGGTGTCGCTGTTAATATCAGACTATATTGAGGTGCTCACTGTTAATATCAGACTATATAGAGGTGTCGCTGTTAATAACTGACTATATTGAGGTGCTCACTGTTAATATCAGACTGTATAGAAGTGTCACTGTTAATATCAGACTATGCAGAGGTGTCGCTGTTAATATCAGACTATATTGAGGTGCTCACTGTTAATATCAGACTATATAGAGGTGTCGCTGTTAATATCAGACTATATAGAAGTGTCACTGTTAATATCAGAATATGCAGAGGTGTCGCTGTTGATATCAAACTATGCAGAGGTGTCGCTGTTCTTATCAGATTATATAGAGGTTCTCACTATTAATATCAGACTATATAGAGGTTCTCACTGTTAATATCAGGCTACATAGAGGTGTCAGTGTCACAATATCACAATATTGCTGTTAATTACGGAGATGGGGACAAGGAGGGAAGGTCAGGGCGGTGATGAAATGGATGTTCCTGCCATAAAATTAGAAACGTCTACTCACCAGGATGGCTGCCTCCTTGAGTGGCCGGACTGTGAACTACAGTCCACAAGATGGCCATATTCCCAGATAGAAGCGAGCAGGGAAAAATGTAGGAAGTTGGTGAGATAGAGGAATTGTATTGTCCTGCCTAAAACACCTCTCTCTATTTGTCAATCATCTGGGTTGAGTTGGACACAGCGTGCGGTTGTCAATATTGTATGCGAATCTACGCAGGTGTGTATGTGTGTGTGTGGTGTCGTGAGGGGCATTGGGTATCCTGTGTGAGGTTTATGTTTGAGAGATCTGTCTCTCTCTCACGCTGTGCCCTTCTCTAGCAGCGCAGTAATATGCCCCCTCCTGGGCTGCTTTCCCGATTGAGAACTCCAGGGACGAGTTCTTCTTGTCTTTGGTTTGCGTAATGTTGTAGTCCGGCTTAAAATCTGTCTCCATCGTTGGGGATGACATGAGAACGTAGCCGATCAATGTGAGGCCTCCTTGGTGGCGTTGGAGGTACCAGAGCATTGTTTGATAGTCTGTGTCCTTCTGGTAACATCTCAAACTCACTGTCTCCCCCTCTCTGGCTGTGACTGTTCCCGGCGACTGAGTCACCAAAGCGCCCAGTGACAGACCTGCAAAGACAATTTAACATCCATCATCCTGCCCACAGGGAATGTCCTGGTCTGATTCCCAGAATTACACACACTCAAATTCACACAAACACATCCCTCATCTCAAACAGAGAGAGGGGTTGGATATGAAATCGCAGTGTATTTGGGAGCCTGAGGGGAATTGAGAGATGTTGAGAGATACTCACAGGGCCAGAGGATGGAGATCAGAGAGACGGTGAGAAAGGACAGACTCATTGCTGGCAGAGATTTGAATTAACCTTGGGAACTTCTGTCTCTCTCTCTCTCTCTCTCTCAAACATATATTCTTCATATCCCACTCGCACTCATTCTATTTAGCTTTCTCAAGAACACTCTCTGACAACGTCATCTGTCTCTGTCTCACAGTCTCTCTCTCTCGCTATCTCTATGTTTCTGTGGAATGAAGCTCTGGCTCAGTAAACGCACCAATGACACCAAAGTATTGGCCCAACATTGGCCTCGCCCACCCTCCCAGTAGGTCATGGGAGGTGGAGGAGGGGAGGTGTCTCAGAGAAATTACAGCCTCCGCCAGGGCATGGAATGGGAACAGTTGGTCTAAAATTGGTTTCGGATTGAGAGGCAGAGACACAGAGAGGGCGACAAAGAGCCGTGTCTACTCTGGTCCTGAACCTCTATTTCTCTCTGTCTCTCAATCGTCTGTGTTGATGGGTTTTATTTCTGCAGAGACTGAGGGCAGGTGTTGGTGGGGGAGGGGCTGGTGTGTGTGTGTGTATATAGAATCGAGTCGTTGTGTATCCTGTGTGAGGTTTATGTACGAGAGATCTGTCTCTCTCTCACGCTGTGCCCTTCTCTCGCAGCACAGTAATACACCCCCTCCTGGGTTGGGTTCTTGATCTCCAGGGAACAGTTCTTATAGTCGTCTGTCTGTTTAACTTCGTACTCAAGTTTGTAAGCATCCTCCATCGTTGGGTTTGAATAAGAACTGAATCCAATCAATGTGAGGCCTCCCTGATAGGGTTGGAGGTACCAGAGGTTGTTTGATAGGCTGTGTCCTTCTGGTGACAATTCAAAGTCACTGTCTCCCCCTCTCTGGCTGTGACTGTCCGCGGCTCCTGAGTCACCAAAGCTCCCAGTGACAGACCTGCAAAGACAATATAACATCCATCATCCTGCCCACGAGAAGGTCCTGGTCTGATCCTCGGAATTACATACACATACGGGCGCACACACTCACACATGCACATACACACACAACACAGAGCCGGATCTTCTCAGACAGAGAGAGGGGGATTGATATGAAATTCCAGTGGAATTGGGAGCCTGAGAGAAATTGGGAGACTTTGGGAGATACTCACAGGGCCAGAGGATGGAGATCAGAGAGACAGTGAGAAAGGACAGACTCATTGTTGGCAGAGACTTGGATTAACATTGGGAACCTCACACCAGAGCACAGGTTCCTCTCTCTCTCACATACACTCTTTCTTTAACACTCACACTCTCTCTCGGGTTAACTTTCTCAATAACTTTCCCCTTCAACTTTCCTAAACGTTGTCTCTCTCTCACTCTATCTCTGTGGAATGAAGCTCTGGAAAGGAAAGGCTTCAATGACACCAAAGTGTCAGCACCACATCGGAAGTGGCCACTCCCTCCCACCACCCACCCACCCACCTACTGGGACATTGGTTGGAGAGGAGATGTGGGGGAATGGGGGTGTCTTAGTGAAACTATAGCCTCCCCCAAAGTATTGCCCGGGAATAAGAGGTCATAAAAGTAGTCGTTGGTTCGGAGACGTAGAGGGAACAGTGTGGAAAGTGGGCGACATGGAGCCGTGGCTACTCCGGCCCTGAACCTCGATTTCTCTCTGTCTCTCAATCGTCTGTGTTGATGGGTTTTATTTCTGCAGAGACTGAGGGCAGGTGTTGGCGGGGGAGGGGCTGGTGTGTGTGTGTGTGTATAGAATCGAGTCGTTGTGTATCCTGTGTGAGGTTTATGTACGAGAGATCTGTCTCTCTCTCACGCTGTGCCCTTCTCTCGCAGCGCAGTAATACACCCCCTCCTGGGTTGGGTTCTTGATCTCCAGGGATGATTTCTTCTTGTCATCTCTCTGTGTAATGTTGTACCCAGATTGAAAGCCTTTCTCATACGTTGGGTTTGACAGAACAGCATATCCGATCAATGTGAGGCCTCCCTGATCGGGTTGGAGGTACCAGAGCATTGTTTGATAGGCTGTGTTATTCTGGTGACAATTCAAAGTCACTGTCTCCCCCTCTCTGGCTGTGACTGTCCGCGGCCTCTGAGTCACCAAAGCTCCCAGTGACAGACCTGCAAAGACAATATAACAGTGAGATCCGCCGACAGGGAATCTGGGCTGAATGTCCTGGGGGGTGTTCAATGGATTACGCACACACACAAAGCGCGATCATCGCGGACAGAGAGAGGTGTGATATGAAATCCCTGTGGATTTGAGAGTTTACGGGGATGAGAGAGATGTTGAGAG